CTCAATTATGAGGAATTATCATTTCTCTTTATTCTAACAGTTGTAAAAGAATTATACTGGTAGTTTAGTAGCTCAATGTTGTCACTTATTAAAACAGAGAATCTATTCCCTACAACCACTAGTACACTATGTTCTATGACAATTATATCTCAATAAAGGTGAGAAAAACCTTTCCCATCTATTTGGGGCTTGGAAGTAAGTTGTTTTTTTCTTGTGAGAATATTCAAAAGATAGGGGGAAAATATGGTGAGTTTCTTAGTTACAGGAACTAGATTAGATTCAGAACTGGAATTTGCTTTCAGTCAATGAAATTTCTACACCTGGTGTTCATCAAAGCATTCGAAATATAATTTAAAATTTTCACATCGATTGCTTCAACTTATTTTGAGTTGACTCATCTCGGGATTTGTCCCAAGCCTTGTTCCCTATTTTTATGGACAAGCTCTATGAGTCAGGAATAGAGTTTTGTTGCTTTCTCTCCCATGCCCAGACAGTCCTAGGCCTGCAGGAGCTGTGTAATAAATATGTGTTAAGTACTGAGTGAAACAAACAGGTGTAGAAGTCAAGTGCATTTAACATGTCTCATTCAATGCTTCCTTCTATGGGTTTACCAAATGCTAAAAAATTCAGAGAGACTTTGATTTTGATCATTTTAAACACTAAACACAAAACTGGATTTGTCTCTTTAAAAAATGAGATATGAATGTTTGCACTGAAAACCTTTTTTAATCAAGCAGACAAGCTGGCCTATGAAGTGGAGCTAATGTTTGTCCCTTAGCATTGAGATCATTTTAGTGACTGAGTTCAAAGGAGAGTATTGACCGTGAACTTCCTAAGGTCCTCACAGGAAAAAACAACAACACAGAGTTAAGGCTTTGAGGAAAGTAGGGGAGTAAAAACGAGTGGTTCTGTCCTCGCTGGAGTGGTTCAGTGGTTAGAGCAGCAGCCTACCAACCCAAGGGTCATGGGTTCAATTCCAGTCCACGGCATGTACCTGGGTTGCAGGTTGCCCACCCCAGTTGGGTTGGGATATGTACAGGAGGCAACTGATTGATGTAGCATTCTCTCATCAATGTTTCTCTCTCCCTTCTCTCCCACTCCTCCCTAGCTAAAATCAATGGGAAAATCCTCCAGTGAGGATTAATATCAAAAAAACTAGTGGTTCCTCTAACTCCCCCTAAAGATTTTTTTCAAACTTCTCAAGAGAAAATGAGAAGAGAGTGGTGAATATGCATGAATAACCAGGTTTTGAGCTGTGTGGCAGATACCTTTTAAGGCTTTATGAATTGCGGTATGATGTAGTTGGTATATGGGATGGCATTATCCGAGTCCAACTTCTTTAAAAGAAAACAATGTTAGATGATTCTTTGCTGCCTACATTGGTATATTTACATGATGCTTTTCAGAGGTGGGGTAGCAGCATGAATGCCCCTGTGAATGCCCTCAGAAAAGGCCTTCGACTGTCTCGGTGAATGACACAGTCGGTGTTTGTGAATATCTGAGAGAGTGGCTGGCTGAACAGAGGATGAGCCCTGCTTCTGAGGTTGGCCCTGAGAGCGATGCCTTCTCTATTTGCACCTGGTAAGCACCTGCCAGCCAATAGCTGTTACCAGCCAGAGCCTTGCTGTGGTAGGCCACACCCAAGCAGGCCTTTTGAAGCCAGTCAAATACAGAAAGGAGGGCATTTCTCAGAAGGAGCACATTTTCATTTTGTTTCCTCTTGTTGTTGAAGGCTCAAAAAAGTAGATATATTGCAAACCATATTTCATAAGAAGAGTTTCAATACTAAAATCTTTTATTTATTTCTTATTATAATGGAGAGACAAAATTTCATTGAAGCATTATAGTTTAAAATTAACTTACATCTCACATCTAAGTGTACAAAAAAAGTTAGATTAGCATTGGAAATGACTTTGGAGAGTAATTGTTTCAGCTGCTGCTTTTCAGATGAAAAATGTGAGGCAAGAAGTTAACAGAAGCCCAGTGGTTGGTATGGCTCAGTGGTTGAGTGTCCACCCATGAACCAGGAGGACATGGTTAGAATCCCTGTCAGGGCATATACCCAGGTATGGGGCTCAATCCCCAGTGGGGGGTATGCAGGAGGCAACTAATCAGTGATTCTCTCTCACCATGGATGTTTCTATCCCTCTCTCCCTTTCCCTTCCCCTCTCTGAAATCAATAAAAATATATTTAAAATAAAAAAGAAGTTAACAGAATTTTTCAATAATACAATTAAGTTAGGCAATATGGTATTTTATACATTGTTTCCCAGAGATAACCAATATTTAAAAAAATATCTCATGGGTTTTTAACAATTAAAAAGTCACAGCATCAGATATTTCTTAATCACATTGTGCACCAACCTACTCCATGGGGGGCGGGGGGGGCGGGAAAGAATTTAGATTTTTTTTCTATGAAGGGATTTTTAATTCTAAGCAAGGCTAATTCTCAGTTAATTTCTATACCTCTTTTAAAAGATTCTATTCCCCAAACCCAAGAAATAATAGGAATTTGCTAAGCAAACCATTGAGCATATTTTTATATTTGTGGACTATTTGCCTGTGTGTGTGTGTGTGTGTGTGTGTGTGTGTGTGTGTGTGAGAGAGAGAGAGAGAGAGAGAGAGAGAGAGAGAGAGAGAGAGAGAAGGAAAGGGAGAGGGAGAGAGAGATCTGGATAAATATCTCTTGCCCTTTTAGAGAGAGGTAGGGGAGAATTGGTCTTTGAATTACTAACTCTCAATTAAGCCCATTACCCTTTGCCTGTGATATGTTGCAATTTATTGTCCCACTTTGTCAGTTGACTTTTTGGTTCTGCTGTGTGTTTTTTTCTCTTGCATGATTTTAAATTAAACTTCTAGTTGAGGTCCAGTTCACTAGTGATATTTATCAATATAAATATCAGAATATACTTCAAAAACAACTATTAAAACCAGAATTACACAGAAGTTAGCAGTTGTCATACACAAATCTATTATTAAATATCCAGTAAGATTCTGATATTGTCTAGGATGGCCCATAATATCACCCCAAATGAATTTTCATCTATAAGGATTTGGATTTTTTAGAGACTCTAGGGCTACTTGTTGAAAATGTGTCAATACATGTTATTAGTTTGATAAATTCTTAAGAGTCATGTTTCTTAGTAAATTTAGTGTATGCTGAATCCATTCAAAAGTAAACTAGTTACTTTTATATAAAAATGTTACCTTTATTTAAAATTCAGTATGTTTTTTAAACAGAGCATAGTACAAACTACTTTTGAAATAGAGCTTAGGAAATATCCAAAGCTTATTTTCCCCCCAAATATTTCTCTTGAGTATTCTTAAGCCATCTTTCCTATAATCATCTAATGACTTTTTAAGAAACAGAAATTACATATATTTTTTTGAGAAAGTGAAAATATACATATCTTTTACTCCAATCTGTCTAAAAGGAATGGATTCTGCTCTACAAAAAAAGAGAAGGTATTTAAGAAAGAAAGACATATGTGTGTATAAAGACCCATATATATGAAGAAAAATTAGCAGAAAGTGAATTAAAACATTAGCAGTCATTATCCCTGGGCAGTATAATTATATGTGACTTACTTGTTTTTCATATTTTCCTCCTGCATTTTCCAAATTCTCTTTTTTGATTCCATTCCATATTACAGTTAACACTTGAACAACAAGAGTCTGAACTGCATGGGTGAATATTTTTCAATAACTACACTTGAATATTTTTCAATAACTATACAGTTGCCCCTCTGCATCCTGGGATGTTGCATGCAGGATTTAGCAAATGGCCAATCAGAAACAGCATTTTCATTCAGATGGCACCACTTCACCCCCACATTGTTCAAGATCACCTATATGAATAATTAAAAATAAGAAAGACAAATGACAAACTTATAGACAGAAATCCTAGGTGACAACTTCTTCTTTTAAGTAACTGAGATTACTGGTACTTCTAAGCCCTACGTGCAGTCTTTGCCCTGGCTAGACAGGGTGTTCTTTCATTTCAGCACAAAGAAGGAAGATGGAGTGACAGCATCCACACTCCAAGGAGGGAGCTTCCTCGGGAACTGGGAGAGCTCCAGCATCTCCACGTGCACACGCTGGCCGCTCTGTGAGGTCACTTCAAGGACTTTATGAGTCTCAGATCTTATTCTGTTGAAATGAATCGGCTCCTTTCCAATGAGCATTTTCACCTGAGATGTCTTCAGCTTTATAGTATGTTGTCAAGGAAGGACACTGAAATATAAGGAATTCTTATTTAAATGACAGCAGAGTCAACAAATTTCTATGCTGCTAATCATGATGCTGACATTACATATATCTTAAACGTTTAAAAGAAGTTTTTATTGCCCTCTGTTTTGGTAGCTATGTAGGACACAAGACAGTATGGCATAAACTGAGATACTTAGTAGATAAGAGATGAATGAATAACTTGACCATTCCCCATTTCTTTTTGTAAAAGGAAAAGTGTCCTCAGAGTTGAGCAACTAAAAAAAGAGCCTTATTCCAGAAAACCTACAGGTCCATTGTAACACACAAAAGCTTTCCTCTAGTCTCTTTTCTGAACCATGGTTACGGCAGGGGAAAGGAAACAGAATCTGCTAGTTTGGAGGAGGGGCAGTTTCAGATAGACTGTCCTCCTGCCCTTGTCACAGTCAAGATTGAAAGGAGGTATTGCATAGTTTAAGGTGCCTAAATGCTCCCTCCGCCACTCTTTCTTAAGGCCCAGAACACTGTGTTGTCACAAATGGACAGACTCCCCTCAGCTCACCTGACACTCCCAGTAATTATTGCCACCTGACCCTTCATCATTGTCCCCTTTCAAGATCACAAGTGTTCCCAACATCGTGTTAGCTGCATCATCATTGAGCATTCTCATGCGTTCCAACGCATGGCTGTGTCTTTGGAGTCTGTCTGCCTCATTGCCTGTATCCTCTCTGACCCTGCACTTGACCTGAGTGCACAGCTTTTCAGCTTGGCACAGATTCTAGCTCACTCCTCGTCTACAAACGATTAACCTTCTCCTGTAGCACACCAGTGGTCAGAATTCCAACCTTAAAAATGAAAATTTGTCATTACTTTATTAAGGAGTTTCTAGCTTTTTATAAAAAAGCAGCCAACAGTTAATAAACACAACTTGAGATGCACCTTGAGGTAAAAGAATGTCTCCAAAAAGTTGAGGATAAATACCATTTAGGTAAATTGATTCTCAAATATTTACTGACCACTTCTCATTTGATTAAGTCTATACTCAGAAATTTGAGGACATTTACAAAGATGGCCCTTATGAATACGTAAGTTAATTTAGCCTGGGAGAGAAAACACAAAGCACAGTGTGTGGTACATTAGGTTAGGGGCAGACAAAGAATATTGGGGACCAGCTATAATGACAAGAAATATTAATCATGCTCTGTTCACTATGATTGTTTTGTTCTGATTAAAGAAAGCACATTTCAGCCTGGATGGGAGTTGCATGTGGGACCTGGGAGCTCACCTGGAAATGTGGTCCTTCTTCCACATCCAGGGGCTGCCTATTATCATTGAAAGGTTAACAACCTTGTTGCAGAAACCAGAGGCACCCCCAGGCCTTTGCAAACCACAGCCTGCATTACCTTTAAACTGCCCATTTTGCATACCCATTCTTATCCCTCTTGCCTTCTTCCCCATGTAATCTTTGTCCATCTACCCAATATAAGCAGCTGGGTTACGGTGGGGGAGGGGGGGCAGAGCAGATTTTTATGGATGACCTGCTGCTCTCCCATACTGCCGGCATTATTGGAATAAATGCTCTTATATGACTCAACCCTGTCTGCTGAAATGGCTCAAGTAGTGACAGGCAGCCCGGACTCATTGATTGTCCTGTTACAATGATCTGTGACTAATCATCTGTGACTAATCAAAATTTGTAGAATCAATGAATGAGTGAAAGAATGCAATAGAGTTGATAGGTAAAAAATATACAGTTTTTAACAATGAGAAGAATGTTTGCTGTAAGGTCTGGGGCTGGGAAAATAGGGTCTTTCCTGATAGGGTCTTTCCTGATCCCACCAGCTGAGTTGGACAAAACAACCCAGAACTGCCGAGCCACATCCTGCTGGACAATAGCTGCCATCCTGTTGTGCTGATGGCCAATAAATAACCACTGAAGACTTCTCAAGATGGCCAGGGTGTAGCTGCACCAACTTCCCGCTCATCAATCACCCGCCATCAGCTACCTCAGATAAACCTGATTGGTCCAACAGCAGCATAAAAAATCTCTGCCAGGCATAGGCGGGTGTGACTCCCCCGGCCTGCACCCCCAGACCGTGGGACCTCACCCGAGAGCTTCCAATAAACGCCATATTTCGCTCTTACCCTGCTTGTCTTGGTCAATTTATTGGCTTTGGTCAGATTAAATCTTACATCTCAGATTAAACCTTACATTAAATCTAACAGTTGTCATTTGTGAAACCAAAATCACATCAACATAATCTCAAAGTATAACCTTGCAAATGTAAAATAATATGCAAAGTAGCTTAATAATACTAAGCACTGGGTGGAGGGTTATTACAAGTGATTTTTATTATTTTTATGTTTCTGGGTATTTTCTGTTTTCAATGAGTATATATTATCCTTGAAAGAAAATAATTTATTTTAAAAATTGGAATAGACAGGAAGTGCTCTGAGTTCTAAAGCGAGACATCACTTTGGACTGGAGTTATCTGGGAATCTGGGGGAGCTTCTTGGGTCAGTGAATTCAGACCTGGGTTCATGCAACTTAGATGGGAAGGAAGGTGGCAAAGTGTTTTAGGCAGGTAACCTGGCAACAATAGGGTAAATCAAATGATATTTTAAGCAGTCTTCTGGAACATTTTTAAATAAAATTTTTATAAAGACAAGTATTGCCCTCATGGTCTGGTTATTCAGTCTGTTTATATTTGGTGGTAGCATGGCTGGCTATGAATCAGTTTTGCATAATTTTTCCATCGAAGTCCCCTGATAATAGAAGAAAACAAATGCGTCCCCCCTGCCCAGCCATGTATTAGTGCTAATTGGCAGGGGAGAAAAAGATGAGAAAAATAGCTTAATTATATACATTTTAGTTTTGAAAGGAGGTAGTCAGTAGCTTTCATTTTGAAATTTAGGGCATCTCTTGTCTTAGGTTTTTGATATCTTTGTAAGTTTTCTGACGGCTCCCAGGTACCAAGAGGTTACCTGTTCGATTCTCAGTCAGGGTACATGCTCAGGGGAAGGAGTTGAACACAGGGGGAGATGGGCGCATACACAGTGCAGTCAGGGTGATGTAGAAAAGGTGCTTGCCTGTCAGTCTAGCTTGAGGAACAGTGGATTGGCTGGAGGGTAGACACAATGCAAACTCAGGAAAATTTGGGAATACATGATCCCAGGACAAAGCGTTCCCTCTCTCTTGTTCTGGTCTGGTGCTGTGGCACTCTCGCTTCATGGCCTGCACCTGCCCCGTGCGCTCGCCTGTTCTGTCTCCATAGCCATGTGGCCCTAGAAGCCGCGTGGCCCATGGCCATGTGGACCCCACATGCGGATGCTGGACTGGCCTGTGCTTTACTATGGGGTGGAGACTGGCATCCCTAATTCTAGCCCTGCTGAAGGTAAGCTCGGACCTCTTCCATGGTGGGACTGACATAGATGGGGTCGTGGAAGGGAACCCCCTTAACTTTACCTCATCAGTAAAATTCTTTCCCCCAGGGCACCCCAAGAACTCCACATCCACCTATAACAAATGCAGAATAATACAGGAATGCTTAGGAAAACAGTGCCTGTGCACAGCACTGCCGGAGTCCTCACCCCAAGTCACTGGAAACAATTATCCAAGATAGACACCACCAGCAGTGTATCCAGCTCCTGAAGTACTTTCCAACGCCTTTGGTGTTAGTGATCTACCAGGTACAATAGCACATTTAAATCCTGTTTCCATTTCGATACTTGGGTTGTTGAAAGCATTTTGATTTCAATTTGTGTTCGGTACCTGTCATGTTCCTCACTTGTTTGCAGACTTTGCGCATGATCACAGCTGTCTTCTTGGGGATGTAAATGGATATTGACTTCCTTAGATTTTGCATCTGTATTACTGCTAATTGGCAGGGGAGAAAAAGAAGAGAAAAATAACTAAATTATATACATTTTTGTTTTGAAAGGAGGTAATCAATAACTTTCATTTGGACATTTAGGGCATACTTTGTCTCAGGTTTCTGATATCTTTGTAGGCATCTAGAAAGAAAAATGTAACCAAGTCACACTTTTCAAAACTGAGTAAAAACTTGGATTAGAAAATAATACTAAAACCATTCTATAGGTTGTGTCGGAACTCTAACCTGCTTATAGACAAGTGCCCATGCCTTAGGACAACACATTTCCCTATTCCAAAGTTATATCGATTGGTAAATACTGGTACAACAGGATTGTGACATTTAAATGGCTTTGCGCTGCAATCTTACACAAGGCTTCCTTTCACCGCCATAGTGAAGATATACGTTCTATATTTTGTACAATACCTATAGTATGGAAAGTAGCAGTTGTCATGAAGGTACATAAGAACTGATAGTAAAAGAAGTATTTAATTACTTTTAAATATCAGTAAGAATAGTTATGTATAAATAACAATAGCTAACATTTTGTGACATTCATTATAAGAGAGGCACTGTGTTGCGGTAGGAACGACTATTATCTTATTTTTCTGGCAAGGAAAATGAACTTTAGAGAGACTAAGTACCTTGCCCAGGGAGCAAAGCTAGTGAGTGAGTATGAGCATATAGGTCTTAGTGATTGCAAAGCCCATGGCTGGACTGACCGTTTTTTGCGCTTGAGAATCATCCAACAGGAAACAATGATGGGTATAATAAAGATGACCACACTGGAGGATATGCCTAGGCAGAAAAACAAGGTAATTAAGTGCATGCAAAATACAACCCATAGCTGTTCATCTCTATCTTCATATCTAGTCTCTCTAGAGCAGAGGTTCTCAACCTGTGGGTCGAGACCCCTTTGGCGGTCGAACGACCCTTTCACAGGGGTCGCCGAAGACCATCCTGCATATCAGATATTTACATTACGATTCATAACAGTAGCAACATTACAGTTATGAAATAGCAACAAAAATAATTTTATGGTTGGGGTCACAACATGATGAACTGCTTTTCAAGGGCCAGAAGGTTGAGAACCACTGCTCTAGAGGTTGCCAATGATTTTTTAAAAATGTAGCTAAATTCTGGTTTAAAAAACACCAACACTGGCTTACCTTGAAGATTTCCCCTTTGGCTGGCATTTCTCAGTGGTTAGAGCGCAGCCCGTGTACCAAAGGGTCATGGGTTTGATTCCTGGTCAAGGGCACCTACCTGGGTTGCAGGTTCGATCCCTGCCTTGGTTGGGGTGAGTCTCCTCCCCCACCCCCAACTCTCTCTCTTTAAAAATCAATCGGAAAAAATATCCTCTGGTGAGGATTAACAACAGTAACAAAAAGATCTCCCCTCTGCGTCTTGTTTAATCCAGCTCGTTACTGTCACTTCTATAGGGTTAAGGGTAAGGAGTGAGCAGAGCCATTTTGTAACCTGTAGTCCAACAGCAGCCTTTTAACAACATGTGACAACAGCGCTGAGACTCCTGGGTTCCACCTCTCAGGCCCTGCGCATCTCTTGTGTGAGGCACAGGAGCTATTCTATGCAACAAACTGCCAATTCCCTCTGAAGCCGACTCTCTCATAACACTATTCCTCTTACATACTCAGATCCCAGAAACGGGCTTAGTGGTCTCTGTGGCTTCCAGTTTGGGCAAGTGAGCATGACTACTGCCCTGAAGAATATTCCCAGGTTGTATTCTCCAGCTACAATAAAATAAGATGAAGGACTGGTCATCTTTAATGGTTCAAAGACAATGCAGAGCCTCTGATGGAGGACACTCTATAGGCAGATGAGGATACCAGTTTCGCCACACCGTGGCCTGAGTCTATCACTGTCTCCTTTCTAAATGAAATCGCAATGTAAGATATTTTGACCTCTCTTTTTACATTTCATTCATTATAAGTGGATACTTACTGTTAAAGATGCTGCAGTTTCTCAGCAAACCCTTTATAAAACTTACCAATAATGCGAGCATTACGTCGGCCTAAAAGGAAGACAAAGGTCACAAATGCATCAGTCAAGCCCTCAACATGATTGAACAGGAGCCCTCAGCCAATGACAATTTGGCCTAATTTTTATCATTGCACAGTCCAATTTTGTTCTAATTTAAAAAACCATTGGCTTTACTGAGACAATCTCATTTTATCTTCAGTATTCAGTGGTCTGTTTCCTTTCTTTTTAACTTACCATTTTATCAAAAAGTTAATAGAACTACAGCAAAGAATGTATAAAACAGAACAAAAGAAAAATATCACACATAATTCTACCACCAGAAAATGCTTTGCTACATTCCCTTCTAGAACATGTTCCCATACATGTAGGTTTTTACATATTTATAGCACCTCTTTACCTACCTAACCTTTGAACAGTGGAATTAAGCTCTCAATCAATATATGTTAATTTTTACCACCACAACTACCACTATTGCTACTGGTATGATAATACTATTAACTCTTCATTATATTTGTCCCATATTTCTCATCTGTCTACTGCTTTCTTACTTTCCAAAATACCCACATAAGCTGTAAGTCAAATTTGTTGCTCTTTAATGATTTTCTCTGTCATATCAAAAAGTTCAAAGAATTTAAGTCTTCTTCCAGAGGTTTGATAAATAAATATAATTTACGTTAGCTTTTATATTGACTTTAAAAACTTTAACTCTTTAATACTTCTGGTACTTTTTGTAAGATAAAAAGAAAAGTCCTAAATTTGTTTCAATCTACCTATGTTATTTGATCATCTTTACCATCTCTGTTATATTTCATCTGTAAGATACTTTTACTTTTATTTATAATAACTTTTATTTCATTAATATCTATTCTGTTTCATTTACAAAAATGAGTCAATTTTGTGCTACTTTAAAGTGATTTGTGTATTGTGGCTTTATATTTCTTTTAATGTCTGGTAGGGTAGTCCTCCATTATGAGAATTTTCCATCTTTCATGGCCACATCTTCGAACCCTCTATAGCAGCGGTTCTCAACCTGTGGGTCGCGACCCCTTTAGGGTTCGAATGACCCTTTTACAGGGGTTGCCTAAGACCATCGGAAAACACATATATAATTACATATTTTTTTGTGATTAATCACTATGCTTTAATTATGTTCAATTTGTAACAATGAAAATACATCCTGCATATCACATATTTACATTACGATTCATAACAGTAGCAAAATTACAGTTATGAAGTAGCAACGAAAATAATTTTATGGCTGGGGGTCACCACAACATGAAGAACTGTATTATAGGGTCACGGCATTAGGAAGGTTGAGAACCACTGCTGTAAAGGCATTCATTCAGCCAGATAGCTTTTTGCCAAAGTGAAAATAATTTGATATTCAGGAGGTTACAAGTTTATAATTTGGAAATATCATTTATAAGTCAGATTAACTAGCAATTCAAGGGATTAACTATAAAAACATCTTGAACAATCTTGGTCATCACTGCTTCAAATAAGAATCATAAGAATGGGTGAGGGAGGCCTAGCACTAACTTAGATTAAGGAAAGTTATTCATTGTTAATTTTGCTCATCAGCTCCTTGATGTGTACAAGTTCAAGGTTTAGAATTTTCTATCTAATTGCCAATACAGCTCAATGACACCTGATTTCTAAATCTGCTGATGTAGTTTTACCAGTTTAGAATCCTGTGGCCTACAGCAGTGAGGGCGACAGAACAGCTGGTCTCAGCAACTTGGAAGGTGCTTCCTGACTCATGCTGAAATTCTTGAAGGCCTGCTCTATCTCTGAGGGGCTTGACTTTTAAGGCCCCGGGCTATAACTAAATCATTACTGTGGGATGCAGGCAACAATAGAGTGATGCAGACAAAAAAGGTTCAGTGAGGTCCCCAAGGAGAGATGAATGGGTTGAGAACTGTGGAGAGAGCAAGGCTTGCTTGGCTCTCTTTGCTAAGGGCTTTTGGAGAAGAATTAGGAGCTCCTCTTGCACTCCTTAGCACTACCACGTTCGATGCTGTAACAATCACACCACATTTGATGACAGTACGGATGAATGAATGAACAGTGCATGACTGGGGAGGACCTGCATTCCTTGTACCTGCTCTTGCACTTACCAGATGTACTAGTACATGTGGCCAGAGGAGGGTCCCATGTGTTATCTGCCTGGCACTGGCTCCGGGGACTGCCTTCCAGAGTATATCCATCTTTACACTCCAAGGTTACAGTATCTCCAAATCGAAATTCTTGCCTCATGTCCAACTCCTTCCAGATTCCATTCGTAAACTTTGGGAGGCTGCATTTTACCTCTGAAATTAGAAAATTGGAAGGAAATTGATATTTTATTGAGAACTTTAGTTGTAACTACCATAATGGAAATACCTATGACCCCCCAAATCTATTTCCCTTCAGCAAAGATGGGTCATGTTTTCAATCAAGAAAAATTGATAGCTCCTCCCTAAACATCATATGATTTAAGATAAACATTGTATGATTTAAGATTCTCAAACTTTATTTTCCTAGGAATATGGAATGTACTGTAATCCACTTTTAATTGTAAACAAATCTGAAACTGGAAAGCTGTGGAAAGATGAGGAGTTAGGATTAGCATAATCTAGCCTAGATCCACTTGGGTCATACCACAGGAAATAGGAAGATCACATTAACTGTCTCTGGGAATACAACAAATACTGCTTTTTGCCTCTCGATTAAATGCCTGTTTCTGGCTCATTTCTACATATAGAACAAAGACATTAGTAAATCATGATTCTGAATTTGAAATATCAATTTTCAACTTAACTTATCTCACTTAGCTCAACCTTACTTTGCTGTCTTTCTCTGCCCAGCCACAACTTCTTCGATTTAAGCAAAGCCTATTTTTCAGTTGTAAAAGTCTAATTTCCTTTGTAAAACCCTATCAGGTAAAGTGCTAATTCTCTCAGTATGGTCTGTGGTCTTTCTACACCAGAATATTCTAGTGGGTTTGTTAAAAATAGACCTCTGGACCCCAACTCAAAATGTCAGAATCAAAGTTCTTGGGGATGTAGATTAAGAAACTTTTTTAAATAAGATTCCTGGCTAATTTTGTTAAGGCTAAAAATAGGGAATGAATAAGACATGTTTGAAGAGAATAGTTATTAAGACAAAAACAATTTTATATAAATGAAAAGAAAGCAGCTACTAGGAGAATGGGATACAATTCTTTTATTTTCAGGAAAACTATTCCAGAGTCCTAATCTGAATAGTTAATCCTGGAACGATTCCCTAAATCTTCATACTTCTATGTAACTACTAGAGGCCCAGCACACGAAATCGTGTGTGAATATTTTGCTGCTGCTTGCTGCTGCTCGCCACCCTGCCCGCCACCCTCATGGGCTGGGAGGTAGAGGGACCCAAAGGTGGTCAATGCACCTCATGGCGACTGGTTGAGGGGTCATTCTGGTCGGTAAGCTTATGGTCCCTGGCCTTTTATTATATAGGAAAGCAAAGAGGAGCCCTGGCTGGTGTGGCTCAGCTGGTTGGGCGTCATCCCATGCACTGACAGGGCACATGCCCGGGTTGCAGGCTCAATCCACGGTAGGAAGCATGCAGGACACAGTTGATTGATTGATGTTTGGCTCTCACATGGATGATTCTTGCTCTTTCCCTCTTCTTTCCTCTCTGTCTGAAAATCGATTTTAAAAATATTTTTTTTAAAAAAGGAGGGGTGAGCTTTTGGTTTCTGCGGAGCCACAGGGACTCTGTAAGTGCCATCCATTCTGGCAAATAACCAAAACAGAGTCACTTGCCATCATTGTGTTGGCCCACTTCTTCTCTGTCTCTGAAATTGAGGGGCAGGAGGCCAAGCCGGATTTCTGAGACTTTTAGGTCAGGGAGGGCCATAAAGTCCTGTAACCACAGCAGCCATAAGACTAACTAATTCTTAACATTACATAGTATTTGAAAAAATGAAAGCATAGAAGAGAAACAAGCAAAGCAAAAAGCTTAACTTATAGTTTTGAAAAGTCAAAAAGCCACATTTAAAAGGAGTCAAGATAAAGTGCAGAGTTAGAAAGCAGGGGGTGAGCTGGGGTCCAGTCCTAGCACCATCCTCCTGCGCTGAGGATCATAGGCTAGTCACTGGATCTCTCTACACCTCAATTTCCTCCTCAGTAAGACAGCAAGAATAATTATCTCACCTCATCAGATTCTTCAGGAGACTAACACACATCGCTTTTGTAAAGATCTCAGTAGCAGGCCTAGTCATAGAATATGAATTTTAATTCCACATTTTGTAGCTTTTTAGAATATTGCCGAGTAAGGTTTTAAAGTCATATTTCATTTTTGCAAACGTAGACAGAATAACAAAAATCATTCCTGGGACTTGGTGCAGGAAAGAGGCAATAAACTCTTTACCTTTGGACTTGGAAGTTATAGTGAGACTCCACACCTAGTAATTCAGAACTAACTGCTCCGACCTTACTTCTACAGTCCTCACAACAAAGTGCTTCTGGTCTCTTATTGACCTTCTAAGGCAGCGGTTTTCAACCTGTGGGTCGCGACCCCTTTGGCGGTCGAACGACCCTTTCACAGGGGTCGCCGAAGACCATCCTGCATATCAGATATTTACATTACGATTCATAACAGTAGCAACATTACAGTTATGAAGTAGCAACGAAAATAATTTTATGGTTGGGTCACAACATGAGGAACTGTATTTAAAGGGCTAGAAGGTTGAGAACCACTATTCTAAGGGTATTTGTGAGGACCATCTGTGATCCTTTAAAGCTGAAATAGTTTATTAGTAAAAGGCCTGGAAAGCATTTTAAACTCGTGGTTGATGTCTATTCCATCACTGACAATTCCCTCTGTTCTTCCTACTTATTTGGTAGAGGTAAGGATATTTGTGCAGCCTCTCTTCCTACTGTTTGTTCTGCTTTTCGTCTCCTCTATTGATACTCATTTCATCATTCTCTCAGAGAAGATCTCCATCAGCCTTATTAGCCTCATGCAGAAAGTGTCCATAAAAGCCCAGCAAGAATAGAAGGTACCTTTGCAATAATGGTAGACTTGGCTCCAGGTTCCCTCATGTGTACAGAAAATGAAGCCTTTTCCCACCAACAGGTAGCCTGGGTCACAGGTGTAGTTGACGATCATCCCAGGAAGATATGGAGATACATGTCCTCCAGTGTGACGCCCATTGTGCACCTTGGGCGGAGGTGGGCATGCTAAGATCAAGAAAAGACTTTCAGTTAAACATAGAAGTATGAACACGCCAACACATCAAATAATATTTCTGACTCTTAGAACCACATAAGACCTAGGCAGGCAGGACTCAAGGCACTAAATGTTTGCGGGTCAGTGGGAGGACTAATTCTCTAAACCCAGACCTCTCAGCCTTTAAACAGGATCATGTAGTATGTCCTTTACCTGCCGACTCCACCAGATAGAAATACCACTGGCATCTACAAATCACCCAGTCAATGCTACCTGTCCTCTCTGGAGGACGGAGCTTGTGTGGCCAGTCACAGCCACAAAGGAGCTTCTGGTTGCCAGGTACTGTCACTTAAAGCTAGAAATATATGGGAAAGGATTGAGCTACGGAGGCCAAAAGCACAACCACCTGCTTCACTTCTCCAGGGCATCCTGAGTTCCTTTTGCTAAAGATGAGAAGAAGCATCAACAAAATACAGTCATGGGCTGAGCAGAACTCTTAGAAGTAACAACAGGAGCACAAATGGCTACATCAGGACTTGCCTAATTACTTCTAGAGCATTACCAATTTTGAAGTAAATTACTCTTACGTAGCATAAAAGCAGCTAGTAATAGAGATGGCATAACCAAATATTTTCACTGGTTTTAAAATATTCTCTATAAACTTTGGGCCTCACTGATTCTCTCCACTCTCTTCTGCCTCCTCTCCTCACTATCCTACGTTCCTCACCCCAGTGGGCAGGGTCATCAGAACACCACCGGTTGGGGCACAGTGCGGCACCTCTAGAACCATCTGTTATCCTCCTGGCAGGTACTTCTGTGTCTGATGTTCATGACAAAGTGATATTCAGAGGAACAGACACTGTCACGATAGAAATATGGAGGTTCTTGGCCAGACGCACTGACCCATATGGGAGGTGGGGAAATGTGTACTGACCAGCAGGACCAGAAAGTTCACAGCGAGGGGCAGGGCCGCTCCAGAGCCCGTTCCCTTGACTGTCACTTGTGCAGCGGATGGTGCGCTCCCCAATGAGACTGAAGGTCATCCCTCTGTTTGGGTGGGAGTCGCATGTATAAGATATTTCTGTTCCATAGGGAATGATTCTCAGAGAAGTTCCTGTGTGGTTTCCATTAAGGATAGCTGGAGGATTTGTACAAAAGATTTCTAGAAAGAAGACAAGTGCGTTAGGTTCCAGTAGAGTTTCAATCAAATGATTATACAATATTGGTATCCTGGGACTGTGTTATAAACACATTCTGTTTTGAAAAAATTTTTTTAATTGATTTCAGAGAGGAAGGGGGGGGGAGAGAGATGGAAACATCAATGATGAGAATCATTGATCCGCTGCCTCCTGCACGCCCCCTATTGGGAATTGAGCCCATAACCTGGGCATGTGCCCTGACTGGGAATCCAACTGTGACCTCCTGGTTCATAGGTCGATGCTCAACCACTGAGCCACACCAGCCAGGTATAAACACATTTCTTTCTATGATAATATAACTAAGGTGCATGCAATTTATATATGTAGAACATTTTTAGAGAAGAAACTGAGGAAGGTGAGACATAGCTTGCAGTTTATTGCAAACATCCAAAAGACCCTCTGGACAGCTAAGATTTTAACCAATTTGAAAGGTAATTAATTTGTTTTTTTCTTCAGCAACCATTTGATGTCCTACTTTATGTCAGACGTAGTAAGAGTCCTGGGCTGACAATGCAATACAAGATAAACAAGGTTTTGGCTCTCAGATGTCTGAAGTTCCAGGGAAATCTCTGTGAAATTTGTGAAATGTGGACTATCATTTGCAGCCGATGTAAATGTTTCTAGATGACTGAGACCATTATCATCAGTGCCCACGTCAAATACACCGTAATGCCATCAGAACGCATTGATTCCTACAGTCAGACGAAAAGGCACCGGGTAGCCTTTTCTTTCTTCTTCTTTCACTTTTTTCTTTCTTCCAAGATATCAGCTGTCATTTTTTTCCGGCTGTTAGTGTATCTATTTTTAGCAATTCCCTCCCTAAAACTAATTTGATGCTTCTAAACTGATATAAATTGGGGAAGAGATACCCAAGCTTATCAGAATTGTATGTATACTAGTAAACAAGTGAAGGCTTTAGTACATCAAAGAATAATTGATTTGTTTGTGTTTATCCAAAGTTTAATTATAAATTTATTTTCAGTTTTATGTGTGTTGGGAAGGTTGAGTTTGATGAGTATCTGACTTTTATACATATGGAATGTTCTCATAAAGTTCCACCATAATCACATAAGATGAACAAATAGATTTCTTGCAAGGTAGTTTATCAAAATCCAAATTAAAAATGAATATTTTTCAATCATCAAAAAATGGTATTTTTAAAAAATCTTTCTTTGCTTTAGTTAACAGAGTAGGCTAAATCAGTTATGTCTTGGTGAATAAAACACTTTTATCTATTTATCAGTTTCTGAATCTTCAGCATGTTTTATTTAAGCAAGTGATTTGAAAATTCAGGGCACCTCATCTCATTTCAAATATTAACTCACCTCCCTGTACCATACAAATTTATCATATAACACTGTTTTTTTTTAAATTTATAACACATGAATTTTAACATATTTTATGCATTCAATTTTTATGTTTATTTATTTATTTTCTTGTTCGTGGGCAACCTCCCTAAGTAGAAAATGAACTCCATGCCCGGCCGGTGTTGCTCAGTGGTTCATCATGGACCCATGAAGCAGGAGGTCAGGTTTCGATCCACGTCAGGGTACAAGTTTGGGTTGTGGGTTTGATCCCAAGTAGGGGATGTGCAGGAGGCAGCCGATCAGTGATTCTCTTTCATCATTGATGTTTCTCTCTCTCTCTCTCTCTCTCTCTCTCTCTCTCTCTCTCTCTTTCTCTCTCTCCCATCCTCTCTGAACGCAATAAAAAAGTGAACTCCACGAGAACAGGGATATGTCTTCCCTATTCATTACTCTCCCCACATGGAAAGTCCTGACATGTGGCCCTTCCTCAGGACTAAATAACAGGATGGATGAATAGTTTAGATCAGTGAGGGGATAAAGGGACATATATATGTAAGAGAAACGAAAAAATAAATGAATAAATACATGTTGGCAGACCTTTGTGCCATCTGCTTTCTCCCTTCATATTCCCCACAAAATTCAGCACTGGCATTAACCTGGTGACTTATAGGTAGCAACATAAGCACAGTGTATAAGATCTACATGACCTGTTTTGAAATTCTTCCAACAAAACGTATTTTTGTAAGTAATTTGGTGAAAGATCCAGATGACAGGTGAGACCATGCGACACAGAACACTGGAAATAGAAAGGAGAGCTACCCAGGTTGCATACTTGTTCCTTCTACTCACGTTCACACACAGGGACACTGCGGCTCCAACGGCTTTTCATTCCGACCAAGACACAATGACTAACAGAGCTGCCTTTTAATCGGAACCTAAAGTTAAAAAGGGGGAGTAGCAAATAGATAAGCAACTCCCATCTCTTTCTTCCTCGCATCCCTGATAGATACTCAGGTTGCTCCCTTCCATCTAAATACCATTTGGCTCTTAGGTTGAGGCCCAGTTGAAAGTCTGTTTATTAGGGACCTGAATTCAGCAGTTGGCAGGAACTCAGAAGCCAAATTATGCTAAGAATCACTGTATCCTGTGATGGGCAAAGCCATCAGAGATGGTCCTATAGACATCATAGCTTAATGTCACTTCCAGAAGTCACTGAACACAGAGCTGGACCCCTCTTGAGCCCTGGACCCAAACCCCATCTCACAGACAGCTCTGTGACATCCCACTTATTCTCATCAGTGAATCACGGGGAAAAACAGCTCTCCATCTGGGCGAGCAAAGCAGAGAACATTTACAGAGATTCGACATTGTTCTTCTTGCCACTACATTTGTAATGGCCAGACAGAGGCTCACAGAAACACACTGAGCAAATGTTCAGGAACAAAAGGATGAGGCGAGGAGGCTTTGTCTCCCTGAAATGCCCAGATTATTGTTGAATCCTGTTGACTTTCTAAAACATGCTCACCATGACTGGGTAGTAGACTTTGTACACATTAAAGAGTCCTAGGAAACTGATAAAATTAACTGCTCAATCTTGTTACCTCCACAGTGAGTGTATATTACTTGGAGGCTACTGGTAGATGCATATAAACAGCTAATAATAGTAATCAAAACAATAACATTGGCCATATGGTCCCAATGTCAATGACATTACCAAAGGGAAGACATATAATTGGATTAAGAGCGCTTATCCACAAATTGTTACAAATTGTACTACTGATTGATTTGAAAGTTTCCTGAAAAAATCCTTGTCTGACTTATCACATTACAAATAATTTGTGTCTCATACATTAAACTTTTACTAGCAAAATTTTCATAAACTTCTACTTCCTGCCTCTAAACAGCTATTTATTCATATACTTCAAGTTACAAATGTGAATTCAAGGTCAGTTTTATTTATATTTTTACTCAACATTCAATGTCATGTTCCTTATCTCCTGGTAGTCCTGCTACTAAGTTCTACCACTTATATCAAAACTGCTCAGGCATGAATATCCCTGGGTGCTTCGCTTCCATAGGTCTGTTCCCCTTTTTGGGTTAACGCTTGAACCCAAGAGGGTCACTATCCCGGTCACACTCACCCCTCATCACAAACGAAGGACACTTGTGCTCCAAGCTCAAAGTTAAGTGGAAAGAGCACACGGCCATTAGGAAGTGGGTCCCGGAAGGCAGCACATGATTTCACTACAGAAAAATAAAGGAGGAGTAAGACCGCCATGTGAGGTGCAAAGACATTCATCTGCAGAAAGAATGAGAGTGAGTGTAGGCACCTGCGCATGTGGGGGCGGCCGGGCTCCAGTCTCCCTGGGGCGTACAGCGCAGAGAGGCGGCCCCTCGGAGGTCATAGCCGGGCTCACAGCTGTAGAGCACCTCCTGCCCAGGGGAAAAGCTGTCCTTGTCGCTGGGGCTGTGCTGGCCATGCAGGATTTCTGGAGGCCGCTGACAAACTGGGGGAAGAACAGGCACAGCGTTCCTGTCAGTTATGGGGGAATTTGCTACACCCTGCGCCTGCCAGGGAGCTTAAAAATCCTAATTACAGAGTACAGGACTGAAAAGAACAGTTTCACACCCACCTTTTACTGAGGAGCAAAGTAAGGGCACAGTTCAGAGCTGTGATTAAAACCAAAGGCTCTCTAACCCCTTGTCTGTGATTTTTTTTCTACTAAAATGTTCCCAAGACAACAAGCAGAATGGGTTTTTCTGCTTCCCAGGCCTGGCCATCCAATCCAGGCGAGTGCTGGAGGCTTGTTCCACTCTTACACTTCATAGGAGGCAGCCTTTCTGGCAGCAACAAAGGATACCTTTGCCCAAGTCTCAGCTAACAGACCCATCAGGCAGGCATCCCCCTTCATGCTTCCTCCCATCTCCTCTTTCAGAACCATTAGCCTCCTCTGGATCCCTATGTGCCAGCCCGGATTCTTCCCACGCCATGCTAAGCCAGGCATTTTAGAAAGGAAGACAACAGAAGTCATCGAGAGCAAAATCCCCTTAAACACACACCCACAAAAACTATACACTGTTTAAAGAGAGACCATACTAGTACAGGGATGGGCAAAAGTAGTTTTACAATTGTGAGTACAAGAAATACAAGTATCCATATATGTATTTTACATATATATATATACATATATACATATATACATATACATATATATACATATATACATACACACACACACACACACACACACACACACACACACACACACATATATATATATATTGATTTCAGAGAGGAAAGGAGAGGGAGAAAGAAAGTTAGAAACATCAATGATGAGAGAGAATCATCTATCAGCTGCCTCCTGCACGCCCCCCTACTGGGGATAGAATGCCCTTGACTGAAATTGAACCCGGACCCTTCAGTCTGTAGACCGAAGCTCTATCCACTGAGCTAAGCCAGCTAGGGCTTATTCTTGTAATATTATTTATTAATTACTGTCGTATTCACTTGTATTACAACTGTAAACCTACTTTTGCCCACCTCTGTCTTGCTTACTTGGAGCATATTTTGACTCAAATTTTGGCAATCTGTAACCACAGCCCAATTGGTAAATTTCAATCTGAACCATATAGAATTGAATACAAATTACATATACAGTATATTTGAATTTGAGCAAGTCATTTCCCCTATCAGAGCCTCCGAGTTTTCAGCAAGAACATGAGGGAGTTGACACAGAATGATTGAAGTCTAAGGTCTTTTGAAGCTGATGCTGTAATTTTGGTCCCTATTTGCCTCCTGACCTCTCCCCCCAGGAATAGATCTATGCCGTCGTCTCATCCATTATTGTTCACCATACATTTCACTAGGCTTTGCAATCAGAAAGGCTCCTGAATTCCAGGCCTTATAGTTTCCTAGCCCTGTGACCTGGGCAGTTATTTAACAGATCTAGGACTCAATTTTCTCCGTGGAAAATGGGGATAAAGATAGTTCCTACCTCTTATGCTTGCTCTAGTTATTAAATTAAACAACACATAAAATGCGTGTATAGATGAGACAGAAAATTATTACCATTTGACTATTATTATCACAGATGACAGATAGTAGAGATAGTATTGTTTAAAGTGTTTATGCCATTTTCATAGCCCTCGTATACGCACACACACTTGCATACACGCCCTTTCCTTAATTTCAGCAACTTCTATCATTTACATGTCTCTCTCCCCGCCCCCCCCCTCCCCTCAATAAGGTTTAGTGGATGAAACTTACCCCTGGAGCAGCTTGGCAGCTCAGGCACCCATGTATTGTTGGCTTGGCACTGCACAGTGTTGGACCCTTTCATAACAAAACCAGGCTGACATCTGAATCTCACCATGTCATTTAAAGAGAATAAACTCCTATTTCCTGATGCTCGAATCCCATTTTCAACTTCTGGAATTGTGCATTTATTAGCAGAAATACACCGAGGAGGAGGGCTGCTCCAAACACCAAGTTGACCATCTTTGCTGATACAATATAGAAATTGTTCTCCCATGAGGTCAAACAGCTTTTCTCCATTCGGCCCAGTGTGACATCGGTAAGTTACCAGTGTTGCATATTGGAAAACATTTCTATTGCTGCTGTAGAAGTCTCCGTTGAATATGGCTGGGGGTGGCTCACAAGATATCCCTGGGACAAGAAAGAGTATGGTAAACAACAGCTCAATTTTTAATTTTTAAGATAATTGCATAGTGTTATTCTGGGTTCTGAGCAAAACTGAGGGGAAGGTACAGAGATTTCTCATTTACTCTCAGCCCCTACACATGCATAGCTCCCCCTTTATCAGTAGCCCCCACCGAGTGGTATGTTTGTTCCAATTGATGAACCTAAATAGATACATCATAATCACCCAAAGCCCATAGTTTACTTTCAGATCACTTCTGATGTTCTATATTCTGTGGGTTTGGACAAGTATATAATGGTATGTATTGATTACTGTGGTATCATGCAGAAAACTTTTACTGTCCTAAAAATCCTCTGTGTTCTGCCTACTAATCCCACCCACCATTCCAACCTCTGGTGACCACAGTTTTCACTGTCTCTGTAGTTTTGCCTGTTCTATAATATTTTTTACAATGACTTTACTAAGAATTTAAATAACAAATAAAAATAATCAAATTATTTCCCAGAGTGTACCTAAATATTACTAAATAGCACTAAAAAACTATTATTTTCTTCTAATATTTGCTAATAATCAGACATGTTTACATAATTAAAATTTAGGTGTGTGACATTGATTCTATTTATAAGAATTGTTATTGTAAAAATATCCATGTATTATTATGGCTTACATATTTGTGATTTTAACTGGATAATCTATATGATTTTTATCATAGATTGTTATTAACTTATTGCTGGGCTATTGTTTTCTATTGGCTATTTAATAACATCTTTGCAGGTTAAATACACCACTTCTGGAACTACTCATCAAGAAGAGATTAAAATGGAGCATTTGAGACTTTGCTCCCCAGCATATGTCATCAAAGGAACTCTTATAAAGAATAAATTTTTAAAAAAAGAGGAGAGAGAGAGTGATGTCAGCATCTTGGTGGTGTGAGTTATTGCTTTTTTTCTCTCCTGTTTTATTTACAACTCACCGGTCATACATAACCAAACAAAAGTGCCTCTGCACGTTGTACCAGAATACTCAGGAGATTTCCACCCACCTGTCATTCAGAAGGTAAGTGGGTAGGACCTTGGAGTGGGCAGTGGATCTATCTGGTTCAGTGAACCTACCACAAACTGACTAGTAATAATTGCAAAACAATGAACCTGGAAAGTGCAAAACATGGTGGAGGAAGAATGTGTGGAGGTCCAGCCAGCCTCAAGGGACAATAAGACACTCCACTGAAGCAGGGTATAGATGAATTGGGAGGCAGAAAAGAGGAGTAGCTCAAGGACTCTTAGGACAACACCACAACATACTGGGCTTTCACTGGTGTTGACAGTAGTGACCTCCCTCATAGAGGAGTGGTAAGGCAATAGCTGTATTTATCGAGAGGGTATTTGGATAAAGCAGCCAGTGACTGATTGCCCAGCTGTGCAGGTCTCATGGATTTCTGAAGGTAACTTCTGTCTCTGGGTGTAGGGCAAGGAAAGGAACAGAGGCAGGCAAGAATGACAAAGGACATTAAAGGAACAGGCTCCCTGCTGTCACTTTGGAATTTCAGCAGAGGTCTGCCCTCCCAACCCTGGGATCCCCCTACTGGGCTGTGGGTAGTCACAAAGCCTCAAGTGTTAGCCACATTTTCCCACTCTGCCACCAGCTTTTTATACACCAGGTTTTTTTCTTTCTTTTTGTTTTTTTTCCCCTTTTTCCCATGCTCTCCAGTGCAGCCCAACAGCCCGGTCAGGTAAAGAGAAATTAAAAACATGAATTATAGTGCCTCCATTTGGAAAACGAAAGAATGATTTCTAATCATAGAATTGTACACCTGAAACCTATATAATTTTATTTACCAATGTCACCCCAATAAATTCAATTAAAAAGAGAAAATTGTTTTAAAAAAGAAAAAATTATATAAAATGTAAGGCATGAGAAATGAAATAATCATTGATTCAGGGGTAATAAAATGATAAAAGAGTATATGTCCTATTAGAAGATAATACTTTAAAAAATATTAGTATATGTGACTACACACACATTCATATATATATATCTCCAATATTGACTCAGTTAACTGTTTATTGACCTAAAAATACCATAGAAGTGGAAACATTTTTCATCAGAGATAACCCCCTACAAAACGTGTTAGGCCTAGAAAAAATTTTATGGCAAACGAATAATATCTTGCTAATTTATACTTTTTCAGAGAATTTCAAATTATGGGCAGGTTAAAGGAGGCACCTTGTATAACTTCTCATTCATTTCTGTGGATCTTTAAAAGCTAAAGTTAGTTTGTGTGTTTGTTTGTGTGTGTGTGAATACTTGTAAATACAATGAATACATTCATTGTAGGAATTTTACAAAATATGGACAAACAAAAATAAGAAAACAATAACGGTCCAAAAATAAATATCCTTAATTTAATGCATATCATTTCAGATATGTATGTATGCACATGCTGAATTTATATTTTATAGAATATCATACTTGTTAGCTGGATAACCTTTAGGCATGCCAGTAAATAGATAGAGTGTTTATTTCCGCTTGGATGAGGCATCTCAGTCTCTAATTTCATCTTACATCTTTCTTAAAATTGTATAATCATTTTTAATAAGCCTTGTTTCTTCTATTAGTTATTTTCAAACCATGCTGAACATTTAGATTCTTAACATTTCCCATGATTATAAATATAATTGCGTTGAATGTCTTTAGACCAAAATCATGGGAAAATTCCATGATTATGTTCTAGAAAATGGAATTGCTAGGTCAAAGGGTATTTGCATTACGGCTTTTGTATTTATTCCTCACTAGCCTTCCAGAAGTTTGTGCCCACTTTTACTGACATCAATTCTGCAGGTGATACTGATTCCTTAACAGCCTTAACACTCTCTCCATTTGTAATCCGTCTTCCATGTTCATCAAAGTTTTGGAGGTTCACTTTACAACATCCCATTGAATACAGAGTCAGCTAATCAGGAACAAATACAACTAGGGCTTGAGCATGGAGGAATTTGAAGGAGGAAGAAGGGCCAGAGCCTTGTTAAAAAGTGTAATTTTTTTCTTTAGTTGTTCAAAGTAAGAACAATAAGGAAGAGAGTCATGTATCTCTTTCCTGGGATTTTTGTGTGCTATTAAAAGGTGGCAGAGACAGGTTTAGTTTTCTCTAATGTCTTTTGAATTTACTCAAAGGAGAATGATCTTTTCTCGGGAAAGAGTTTACTATAAAAGTAGGAGAGTAGGACAGTTTGACCTGAGGTCAAGCCCACAGTTTCAGATAAATGACCTCTTAAAATTAAAAACAAAAAGCCAAACAGGAGAACCATGTAACAATTGACTCCAATTCTCAAGTATCTCAGAGACTAGTCTGTGCATGAAGGATTACATTTCTTCTTTGTAACTACAGGGTCAAATCAGGGTCAATTGGAGAGAACTATGGGGAAAAATATTTCCACTCACTTTCACAGACAGGTGCCTCCTTATCCCAAGTGACACTATTGCCTGAGAGGTTACAAGCAGCAGATGGGGAGCCAATGAGTCGATACCTAGAAACAAAATGAAAAATGATCATATCCTACACGTTTTCCACTTAAATCACCTTGAGAAAATAATGCCAAGAGGATTTCACAAATTATAGGACAAACTAACACATGGGAGACTGCAAAGAAGAAACCCCATTTCCACCTGCAAACCAGTTGTTTATTGCTAAGAACAAATATAAATTCCCACCTCTGTAATCCATCATTCCTAGTCCCTCAGAATTCAGTGCAATAACTGTGTTATTCATAATGGAGCATTTTTGAAGTTATCTGTAGGGAAACTGAGGTGTGTTTTTTTTAATCCATGTGTACTGTCAAGGCAATTAGGAACTCCTCACAGGCAGAAAATGTCTTAATGGAAATATGTGCAGCCTCTGGCCCTAGTCAAAAGACACTTAAGCTCAGGGTGCTCAAAAAATATATGTTGATTGAAGGAATGAATGATGGCTTTACCCTGAAGATTCAGTGAAGAGCCAGAAGAAGCAGTTAATTATTTTCATACTTTAATGGTGGAAAGCAGGGGTATTCATCCACTGTGCCATAAAACCATTCGAAATAGGTCACAAAGTTTGGAATATCACATCTTCTTTTTATTTATGTCCCTATACTGTTACTGCAAGAAATGTCACAAAGGATACTTGCTAAGATAGTCAAGTGTTCCAAAGTACAGCAGGACTAACCTAGATTAAGTGAAAGGTAAGGTGTCTAATTCAATGTCATATAACAGTGGGATCGTTTCTGGACCAGCTAAGAACTTTGCCTCTTGATTATGTAAGATACATGATCAGGGCAGTTAACCATTTGTAGCAGAAACTATTTCCAGTATCCACTTTTCTCTTCCTTATTAGTAACAGAATTCTGTGTTTATAACTGGCCAATGCCCATTTCTAATGATCATTTTAAAGATTAAGTTAATTCATGTTAATCACTTGGTAGACTGCTTGGGACAACTGCACTTAATAATCATCCATTATTGCTTTTCTATAGGTAATCTGCAATGGCTATTTAAATTTTCTCTTTGATCAAGATCCAAAACTTTGAATTTTAATTAATTTTTGCTTATGAGTTTCTAGTGTTATTGTACAATACTCACATAGAAGATATCAAAACACATCTAGTATGGGAATTTTTCTTTTTTTCAAGAAATATATCTCATTGGTATATGTTGTGGGTACTTGGTCATGTAAGACTATGCTTCTGCGACTTGGCTGAGTACAGATATTTTATAGCACAATTATTTTCCCTCAAAACACTAATTTCCACTAGAGTGTAGAAGAAACATTTGATGGCAATATACATTTTTTTCTGTTTATTTTAGCTCTGGAGAGTTGCATATTTTTTTTGATATCTGAATGTCATAAATTTTCTCCATAGAGGGTAAGGGCCTCTTATCATTTATTCTGCGTTTGTTCAGTAAGCCTTAGGATTCCAACAATCTAATCTCTTTCTTTCTGACCTGGAAAAGTATCTTCCATTCTGTGCTAATTGATAATTCACCAATTTTTGCTTTTTAAAATTTTTTCTCATGTTTCAATGTGTGTGAAAATGTGTGTGAATGTGTGTGTGTAATTTCCAGTGATGTCTTTCATTTATTCTGGAGAATTTAATTCAGTTTTCTCATGATCTATTTGGTTTCTTTTTCTTAGAATTCAATCTTTGATTATTGTTGCTTTTTTAGACTACTGTGTGTTTACTCATATATAAACTTTACTGATATCAGATTATTAAATCCTCATACTGTTTCAGAGGTTCTGTATTACAAACAGATATGAGAGATTTCTAATATCCTGTTTTAGAGTTCATTCCCTTACTTATTGGAGTACACTGATTTGTAGAGGAATATTTTCTCTGATTTCTGAAAGAAATGGCTCTTGTATTTTCAATTGCTCTAACTTCCTTCCCTTGTATTCATGGTGTTTTGTTTTGCTCATGAATGAAAGAGCTCTAGGCTTATTCACAATGGGAGGTGAGGAAGAACCGGTGAAGAGATTGTATGGAAATGTGTTAAAATCTCCAGGCTCAGACAAAGTGAGCAGGAGTAAATGTGGATTTATCCTAGTTTAAAATTGCTGGATCATAGGTACAATACATAGATTCTACTTGAGTAGGACAGGATGGGACCGACCACCAAAGGCAGTTTATGCAGAAAAATGTGATATATTTAGATACCTGTTTCCTCTAAATATATTGTGGCAACTAAAAATTAATATACTTTCTTTAATTGCTCTAAGTTGAGGCAATGGCTTCTAGCTCAGTTACTTGCCCAAAGAAAATTCAAGAGCAAAAATTACATTAGTGTCCCTACACTGTGTGCATTTGAATGCTTATGTTTCCCAGAACTGATATTATATATGATTTGCCCTCCCACCACCCTTTTTAGGGTCCTCCAACTCAGCTACAGTACTTACCAACCTCAGTTAAGGATATCTGCATGGTTCAACTAGACTTTATCCTTCTATTGATTTGGCAAGCTGGTCCTTTTTATCCAATGGCTATCTTACCAGGTTTCACGTGGACTACCTTCGGCTATACATGGTGCCCTCCCTGGTTTATCATGTAGATAGAGATTCATCTCTTTTTTAAGATTCCTTTGGTCATGTGCCCATGTTCAAGCTACCATCTCTGTTTAGAACTCCCATTGCTTACTTTTTAAAGTACAGGGGGCAGTCGTCTAGTTTGCCTCTCTGAGATTGGGACAGAGACTGACACTGCTGTTCTGGAACTCAAATTCCAAAGAGAGTGCTCCTAACTCACCCTTCATTACACGAATAATTAACTGTTGATCCAAAGTAAGTATCCGTGTTTATTTGCACCATGCCATTGGAAGGTTTGGGTGGAGATCCACATGATTTTCCTAGGAGAAAGCAGCAGAATTTGGGGGTAGGTGTAGAGTTAAATTTACATTTGATTTAAGATTCAGACTGGAGTGTAGCACACTTAGCCTATATATTTGTGATTTTCCCCACAGAATTGCCACTTTGAGGATACTCACCATACGACCTTAGAATCAAGTAGCTATAGGGCACCTCTTTTAAAGGACTACCTTGCATCTCTCAATAAAAACCATTCATGGCTAAAGAATGGTTTTCTCATCCCACCAACCTAAATCAAAGGCTTCATAATTTGAGACTTTCCTCCATCTTAGTTAGCTAAGCACAGTTCACTGGGACCCACATAATTTTCTTGGGTGTTCCTTTTTCATTCATTCATACCATCGAAGGTACCCTCCAGTGAATGGAACGTTTCCCTACAATTCCGTTAGTGTGAGTCTTTCCCAGGAAATGAATATCTGGTCAAGCTGCAGAAAGCCAGACCATAAAAAGGGATGACTTACAAGTCTACCCTCCATTTAAATATCTTAGATATCTCACCTTCAAAATCAAAACAAGTTAAATCAGATCCCATAGATGCTTTGACATACAGAACATAGTTCCCAGGATCGGGTTACTCACGTCTACAGACATCTTCCACATTTGACCAAACCAAATTTTCTAAGCAGGTGATAGAGAACATATTCTCAAAATACCCAGGGGAGCATTTGTAGCTCAAAGATGTCCCCACTGGAAACTCAGACTCATCAGTTATGGTTGTAGGCTTGGCAAACAGAAATGGTTCTGGAGCTTGACAGTAACCTGGAGATTAAAGCCACAGGAATATCAAGTGAGCAATGGGACTCCCACTCAACTCTTCTTTCTCTCCAATTAAGTTGATATATGAGCACATAAACAGAGACTTATTATATTGGCAAGTATTTTCTTCTTGAAGTTACCTTAGGATGGTGCTTTCCAACAACATCTACTCATCAAAAATTTTTCCACTTAGAGACTATTTACCTTTCTGAACTTTATCCTCTTATTTCACTGAAGCAAGACATTTAGTTAATGGTTTCACATGTCAGACCTCCTATCAGAATGCCTAGAGTTAACCTAGTTAATTCATATACTCATGTATTGGTGTTAATGTACCCTGTATAGCAAGACATATTTTACCATCTCTTTCCATTTATTCCTCCCTGCCTCTTTCCCAGAATGCTCATCATAAGCTGCCCCTCTGGCACTAAAGAGAAGTCACCACTATTAGTGGGTTGAATGATGTTTCCCCAAAGATACATCCATCCAGAATCTCAGAATGGGAACTCATTTGAAATAGGGGTATTTTCAGATATAATTACAGTAACGATAGTGAAATGAGATTATCCTATGTTACCAGGGTGGTCCTAAATTCAATGACTGGTGGTGTACTTAGAAAAGAAAGGGAGATTGGAAACACAGAGACAGAGCGGAATAGGCCATGTGAAGACAGGCAGGGATTAGGCAGGGGTGGGCAAACTTTTTGACTCGAGGGCCACAATGGGTTCTTAAACTGGACGGAGGGCCGGAACAAAAGCATGGATGGAGTGTTTGTGTGAACTAATATAAATTCAAAGTAAACATCATTACATAAAAGGGTACGGTCTTTTTTTTTTTAGAAAGGGAGATTGGAGACACAGAGACAGAGCGGAATAGGCCATGTGAAGACAGAGGCAGGGATTAGAGTGATGAGACCACAAACCAGGAGCCACTAGAAGCTGAAAGAAGTAAAACAGGATTCTCCTCTAGAGCCTTAGGAAGGATTGGGGCCCTGCCAACACCTTGATTTCAGATTTCTAGCCCCATTATCTATGTAAGAATAACTTTTATTATTTTAAGCCACCTGGTTTGTGGTAGTTTTTTATGCAGCCCTAGGAAACAAAAGACTATTCTTCTCATTCTGATGTTAAACCAGACACTTAAGGACAAGGACAAATAGATTAAGCCATTCAGCAGCATCCTGGCAGAAGCTATGTCTTCTTTATGAGAGGGTATATTGTGTGCTGCACGTTTGAAATAGAGTCTGAACTCAACTGTCTCTTCTTTGGAGGAGACTGATTCAGTTTGCCAGTTCAATGGGCCTGGCTGGGGTCTAGGCATCTGCATTTAAAGAAATACCATTAGATTCAGATAGAGAACATCCAATTGGAGGGTGAGAGAGAGCAAAGAAAGGTTAAATGCTTTTCATCACGTGACCATTTCTCATTGGATTGCTCTTCTCTCAGGGCTTCCCTGCAGGGAAAGTGGTATTCCAAGGCTGGCCATGCATGGAGTCTACTCCAGGTTTCATTCTTAGGAAGGCCTCAAGTCAGGCCTCAAGTACCAGGCCATCTTCTCCAGTTCTTAGGAATAGTCCCTTCCTTTTTGTACTATTTTCCTTGAGCTGATCTTTCCTTGCTTCTTCTCACTCCCAGAAGGAATGGAAGAGTTCAAGGAAAGATTAAGATGGGCCCCTAGGCGAGCTGACAAATGGGTGAACTTTGAGTTGAGGTCTTTAGATACAAAGGTATAGTGAGTTTATTTTGTTACTTAACCTATTCAGCATAAGACTAGCTAAAGCCTTAGCTAAATAATATCTATATTTCCAGTTTTATCCTTTGCATTCCCATGACCTTATAGAGGGTGCTTTATCAGTTATCCTGATATTGGTTAGTGTCATAGGCCAGTGGTTGGCAAACTCATTAGTCAACAGAGCCAAATATAAACAGTACAACGATTGAAATTTTTTTGAGAGCCAAATTTTTTAAACTTAAACTATATAGGGAGGTACACTGTTATTAACTTAATTAGGGTACTCCTAAGACTTAGGAAGAGCCACACTCAAGGGGCCAAAGAGTTGCATGTGGCTCACGAGCTGCAGTTTGCTGACCACTGGCATAGGCGATTGTTTTCCTGTCCTCTCAAATGAATATATTTTTCTTCCTGATTTACACAGGTGCTTACTGTCTTCCCTTTCCCTTTCTCCTCTTCCCCTACTCTCCTCACCACTTAACCAGCAAGATGAGTTATTAGCATCTTCCCTATTCAGTCCTATTCAGTCGTAGCTTGGCACTGCTGGAACCATCTGTTTCAGCGATGGCTTGTAATTTGACACTTCCACTTATGACAGTTAACCTCACAAGCAAACACTGTAATCTTATGATAGAAATATGAAAGTTCTGGTACAGATATGCTTAATCCACTTAGGGTAAACGCAGGTGGGTACTGACCAAGAGGAACAGAAAGTTCACAGCGAGGGGCAGGGCCGCTCCAGATCCCATTCCCTTGACTGTCACTGGTGCAGCGGATGGTGCTCTCCCCAATGAGACTGAAGGTCATCCCTCTGTCTGGGTGGGAGTCACATGTGTAAGATATTTCTGTTCCATAGGGAATGTCTCTGAGAGAAGTTCCTATGTGGTTCCCATTAAGGATAGCAGGGGGATCTGGACAAAAGATTTCTAGAAAGAAGACAAGAGCCAAAAGTTATATTATAATGTTTACATTTTTAAAAAAATATATTTTATTGATTTTTTACAGAGAGGAAGGGAGAGGGATAGAGAGTTAGAAACACCGATCAGCTGCCTCCTGCACATCTCCCACTGGGGATGTGCCCGCAACCCAGGTACATGCTCTTGACTGGAATCGAACCTGGGACCCTTCAGTCCGAAGGCCGTCGCTCAATCCACTGAGCCAAACCGGTTTCGGCTATAATGTTTACATTTTAATCTGACTTGATTCTACAGTTATGATGCTATGACTGCATTGCCAATTAAAGAACAATTAAGCTCTTAGGGAGCATATGGACTGCAAAATAAATATGTTATAAAGAGGACTAATTATCAGATCCTCTGCCAAGATGCAGCTAAATGACAAGACACCTAAATCAACATTTATTACAGAAGTCCAAAAGGGGTTTAGCATCCTTAACTCTTCAGAAAGTTAAGACTTCTGTAAAATTGAGAGATTATTCATTTAAAGTAAAAAAATCTTAACCACCTTAAAAAGAAAATCACCAATCTAATAAAAAATCATCCATTAATTTAACAAGCAAGTTTGTGAGCACTTACTATATATCAAGTACCATTTTAAGCAAAAAATAGACATCAAGGATTTTCATCCTAAAGAAATCTTTCAAAATATATTATATATTTACTACTTCCTGTCAGTGATTTAATCTTTTTTGATGACTTGAGGCTGTTATTCTAAAAAACAAAATGAATGGGACAGTAATGTCACAATGAAATGCAACATCTTCCATACCTTCCTGTGCGTGCTCCAAAAGGTTCAGAAATGATAGGACTTTTGAGATACTAGTGTTTACAGATTTTATTTCCTTTGAGTATAACTATCTGGAGAAGCTCCTTTCCCCTTCTGATTTGATCAGTATTTGGGAAGAGGATACTTCAACTTGATAGGATCATGGATAAACTAATCCCATCTGGCCAGTGTGGCTCAGGGGTTGAGCATCGACCTATGAACCAGGAGGTCACAGTTTGATTTCCAGTAAGAGTTCATGCCAGGCTTGTGGGCTCCATCCCCAGTAGGGGGTGTGCAGGAGGCAGCCTATCAGTGACTCTCTTTCATCATGATGTTTCTATCTCTCCCGCCCTCTCTTTAAAATCAGTAAAAACATATTTTTAAAAAAAACTAATCTCAGAGTAGAATAGCTTAATCAACATTTACACTTTAGTAAGCAATTTTAAGTATATCTTTGGGTTGATGAGAATATTTTTTTTCATGCTTCTTAACTATACTTTCAGAAAGTTAAGATTTTCTAATAGGTGACTTCCAAATATGAAAGAGCTAATTATCAAGATTCATTATATAAATTAGTACAAGAAGTCCAATTTTAAAGCAGAGTACTCACATGAAAAATTCTATTATAAACATGTATTTTTCAATAGTTATGATTGGAAGATGAAGCAATATTCTGTTTGTTTTAGTAAAGAAATAAATGGACAGACTGAATATATTGGTAGTGTTTCTGTATTTAACACACTATATTTCTGTCATCTTAAAAACAAACAAAAAATAACTTTCTTAATTCCACTTCCCTCGGCAGTTCCATTTCTCTACTCCTTTACATTAGAGCTCCTTTAAGATATTGCCTGTGACCTTTCATTCCTCCCCTTCGTTCTTCCTTGAACTCATTCCAATCAAGCATATGCTCCCACAACTCTACTAAAACTGCTTTTGTTAAGGTCACCCATTACCTCCAAGTCATTAAACCCACTGATAATTTTCTGTCCTCATCTTATTTGACTCTCTGTAGATTTTGAAAGAGTTGCTTGGGATCATCTTCTTAAAATAAATTCTCCACTGGGCTTCAAAAGATACCCTTATCCTCCTGGTTTTTTGCTTAATGCACCGGCTGCTTCTCATCTCTTCTACTGACTCCTCATAGTTCTTAGTTCTCATGTGGATTTACGAGGCATGGCCTATGCACCTGCTCTATGGATGCATTCATTCACTAGGTGACCTCATTTATTCTCTATTTTAATCTCTATGTGTAAACCACCAGCAAATTCTGTCATTTCTACCTTCTGAATGCATCCAGAATTTGAGCACTTTTTATCACCTCTCCCACTGCTATTCTGGGCTAACATTTCTGATTAGTTTTTACAGTAGCTTCCTAGTTTGTATCTCAGATGTTCTTAACTATACCTGACTTTTTGCCCCCTCAGCTGTTCACTCTATACCAGCTACATAAGCTTCCAAGAAAATGTTAGAACAGGCTTTTTAAAGGAAATTTCAAGAAAATATCTGCCTTGGGCCTTTCTTTGCATTTCCTGTTCCATCTGCATGGAAGGTTCTTCCTCTATGTAATTCACATTGGCATCAACTAATTGCTGCCAGTGCTTAATTGTTACTTCCTCATTAAGGATTTCCTTAATTACCTTATTTAAAATAGAAACTTTATTCTTTTTTTCTGGCATTCCTTATTCCCATTCCCATTACTATTCTATTCATTACCTTGTTGTTTTTCTCTTTAGTAACACTTAGTATTATTTGAACTTATTATTCCATGTGTTTCCTTGTCTACTTATTTTTTAAAATCTTTCTTCCTAGCCAAGAATATAAACAGCATGGGGACAGGGACCTAGTCTATCTTGTTTATAGGCATACTCCTGGTGTCTAGAAGACTGGCACATAGGAAGGGCTAAAAAATAATATATGGATGAATAGGTGATTTAGAAAAGGATAGAAAAGCTGAAATGTGACTATCATTTTTGCAAGGAAAAAAAGGAAAATTTGACAAAACTTCAGGGCACAAATTTCTCTCTATCTATAAAGCATTTCTCCTCATTTACAGCACATAGTATGCTACTAAATATTTTGGATGGTACCCAAAACACATGATGCTCAGGTTTATTTTCCCCAAAAAGCATTCTTTTTAACTAACCCACAAAGAAATATTTCTATCAAAAATGAAGGTAAACAGAGAAGCAGACACTTGATAATCTCATGGGGCAAAAACTCGGTAAGAAAATGAAAAGAAAAAGTGAAAAGAAAAAGGAGAAATATTCAGACCTAAGCACATATTCCTTCTACTCACGTTCACACACAGGAGCACTGTTATTCCAAAGGCTCTTCGTTCCAACCCTGACACAGTGACTAGAAGAACTTCCCTGTAAATGAAACCTAAGGGACAAAAGCAGTAGTGACTGGGTGAGCATACCCCTTCTCTCTTCCCTTCATGGTTAGAGCTCAGCTTCTTCCTTTCTGCTAAAAGACAATTTAATTCCTCAGTTAAATACCTGGTAGAAAAGCTCAGCTCATTTGGTTTCTTGGGATAAAGGCTCAGAAAGCAAAACATTTTGAAAAATGGTAGCTTCCACTTACTGAGTAAAAGTCCTGTACCAAAGAAGGACTAAAAAACATAGGCAGGCCCTAGCCAGGTTGGCTCAGTGGATAGAGTGACGGCCTGAGGACTGAAGGGTCCCAGGTTCAATTCTGGCCAAGGGCACATGCCTGGGTTACAGGCTCAATCCCCAGTAGGAGGTGTGCAGGAGGCAGCCAATCGGTGATTCTCTCTCATCAATGATATTTCTATCTCTCTATCCCTCTCCCTTTCTCTCTGAAGTCAATAAAAATATATATTTAAAAAAAACATAGGCAGGCATTTTCTTGACCTGGTCCCAGGCCTCCAGGAGGTCATTGTTCCCTGACTGCTCTCCGATAGCACCCTTTTTGTCATCAGGAGGAACTGTTTCCTCTAATAGGAAATGTAGCATTTTCTTTTCTTAATGGACCAGAAGGAAAACAGCTCCTGACGCAGGTTGGCAAATCATAGAACATGAGGGAAGATATCCGAGACTGTACTTTTCGCCAATACACTTGGAATATTCCTAAATGAGACTTATGGCCTATCTGGATTATTGAAGAGCAGAGCCAAATTAACTAGAAAAAAAAAAGAAGAAAAGAGGACAGGATTTCTTAGAGCATAATTATCCTAAAACATCTGGGTTTTTTTTTCAGAACATTGGTCTCCTGAATTGCCTCCAGATCTTCACTGAATGACTGTTAGTCAATGCCTGTCAAGGAACCCTTGGACTTGTTAACCCCAATAATGAATGAACCTGTTGAAGAGGGTCACTATCCCGGTCACACTCACCCCTCATCACAAACGAAGGACACCTTTGCTCCAAGCTCGAAGTTAAGTGGAAAGAGCACACGGCCATTAGGAAGTGGGTCCCGGAAGGCAGCACATGGTTTCACTACAGAAAAATAAAGGAGGAGTAAGACCACTATGTGAGGTGCAAAGACATTCATCTGCAGAAAGGATGAGAGTGAGTGTAGGCACCTGTGCATGTGGGGGCGGCCGGGCTCCAGTCTCCCTGGGGCGTACAGCGCAGAGAGGCGGCCCCTCGGAGGTCATAGCCGGGCTCACAGCTGTAGAGCACCTCCTGCCCAGGGGGAAAGCTGTCCTTGTCGCTGGGGCTGTGCTGGCCATGCAGGATTTCTGGAGGCCGCTGGCAAACTGGGGGAAGAACAGGCACAGCGTTCCTGTCAGTTATGGGGGAATATTCTTTGCTAAATCTGAACTCATCCAAGGAGTCAGAAACTCATAAGGAGAGGGGTCCCGATCTAACAAAGGGTCTCACACGTGCATTCTATTCCTGGCACGTGATTTGGACAATTTCTTTAACCTCTGAAAGACCAAGCTAACTGCACTGTTAGATGGATAAGAGAATAGCACTATTTCTAAGGAGGATTGTAAAGAGTCCATGAGATAAAGCCCAGAGATTGCTCAGTACACAGCTGACCAGAAGGCTCACATCCTTTTTCTAACTAACTGAGCGCTGGTGCTTTGCCCTGAGAATTGCTCAGTAGGAGCCTCCCCAGTGTCCCCTTCCCTGATGAATTAGGCTCTTGCTTTCCAGGATGAAGGCACATTCACTGGAGTGAGGGCACCCACACACCTTCTTCCTTTCATGCTTCATGCTTCACCCCTAGAAAATGTACTCACCCTGCTCACCACACATCTCCCTCCCAGAACAAACACTAATCTGGGGGGCCTCCCACAGCTCCTGTCACCTGCAGGCCCCCTCGAAGCTTTAGTCAGACTCACCCGGGGAGCAGCTGGGCAACTCGGGCTCCCATCTGTTTTGGGCCTGGCAGCGCACACTGGAGGGGCCTTTCATGACAAAGCCAGGCTGACACCTAAAGCTCACGATGTCATTTAAGAAGAACAAGCTTCTGTTCGCAGACACCCTTATTCCATTTTCAACGTGTGGAGGCGTGCATTTATTAGGTACGATGCACTGAGGGGCAGGGCCGCTCCAGAGGCCCACTTGATCTTTGCTGGTACAATGTATTGACTTCTCGCCCACGAGTTCAAACTTTTCCCTTCTTTTTCCAGGATCGCAGTGGTAGGTCACCACTATTCCGTATGGAAAATAGTCTTTGCTGTTGCTAATGAAATATCCGTTGGCGATGGTTGGTGGTGGCTTACAATGAATACCTGGTGAAGGGATGTCAAGTTAAACAAAACCTCAATTTCTTAAAGTTATGTTTAATTATAAATGTTAGGAACCAGATTTTAAAAAACCCAAATTACCAAATATGAATGTTCACAACACTTCTGCTCTTGTCGAATCTTTTCTAACATACAGACTTTTTGCACAACTGTAGATTTGGTAATCACAATATGATGGCTCCTGCTCTTCTCCATGAACATTAGTTCAATAAATGTCTATATATAGTCCTCCTGCTTCTCATGTTACATGAGAACTTTTATGTTCCTTCACTATTCTTAATTCATTTATCTTGCTATAGAAGGCAATTGGCTTTATTCTACTGCTGAGTAATATGATGTGGCATTCATACTAGTATAGCATCTTTATCAAATAAATAAACACAAAAAGCTCTGGCTCGGGTAACAAAAATATGCAATATTGCCCATGACACAATATTGCCCATCACGGATTCAGAAGTAATAAAAATAACTGACTATAAGTTCTAGTGACTAGTCTATGCTAAAAATTTAGAAAAATGTGAATGTTAGGGATATAGATATTTTTGCCAATATTGACTCAGGAAATGGTAGAATAGAGAAATGGAAAAAATGTATCAAAAATGCTACTCCTACAAAGATAGGAAGCACAGATAATTTTATAGACTAATATAATCTAACATCTAAGTATCAAATAACTCCTAGGCATTTTAAAGCATTCCCGAGCATATAAAATCTTTCTATCATTTCTACCTTATAGTAGGAACACTTATTTATTTTTACTTTTAAGAAAATATTTCAGATGATATTTCTTGCAGAAAATTTATGCAATATAAAAAATACCTTTAAATCTATTATCTAGAAAGAAACACGGTTAACTGTTTAATGTGTAATTTTTAATATATATACATACCATATTTTTTCTAAAATACCTTTGTTGGCTTAATAATATTTCAGTGTAAGAATGGTCTATCTGATTCCACTTGGAAGAGCTGTCTTTCTTGGCTAACACATTCTGGCATATTTTAAATTTTTTCTTTTTCTTGCAGAACACATGCTTTGTTCCTTTATTTTCCCCAATATATGTGTATTTATTGCATTGGAAATAATATGCATATGCAAAATACTAATGTATTAAGTGCTTTAAAAACAGATAAACAGAAATTTTTAAAGCACAAAATAAAACGAAATATATTCAGAAATTGTGTTTTCTTCCTAATTTCGAAAGGATCACCTCACTTCTGTTTAACTACCATTATTTCTGAAACATTGTTTGAAACATGCTCAACATTTATATTGTTTTGGCTTTTTCACTATCACAAACAATAATGTAGGTAAATATTTGTATAGCAATATTCTTGCAAGAAAAAAACATGGTAATTATTTTTTAAAGAATAAATCAGAAAATATCAAATGTCTCAATGAAAGGCATGTAGACAGTTAAGGGTTTTGACACCTATTGTATATTGGCCTTTTAGAAAGTTTGTTCCCACTTATCCTACCAGCCTTTGGCTGTGAGAGTATTGATTTCTTCACATTATCACCAAACCCAGGGGTGTATCCTCTTGATATTCTTGGTTAATTTGTGATTGCTCATTGCTCTTTCTACCCAAAGTGTAGGAAGCTCACATTCCAGACAACTCCCAGGAAGACAGCATGTCACTGTTCAAAGAATAAGAAGGAAGGGAGACAGCCACTGCCTCAATATATGACCTGTTGCTAAGAGTGGGCAGAGAGGAAGCTGGGCCACTTTCACTAACTTTGTGTTGACCTCACTGAAGACAAACGATCTTCAAAATGGGAAGTGTTCAACCAAGAAAGGAGGAAGTTGGGGGCTGTTTTAAATTATACCCCAAGATAAGGAAAACCCAGGAGGAACTAGAAGTCTGGAACATTGTGAACACTTTTCAGAATAGGACTCTTGGTTCAAATATTGGAAGGACATCATTGCCAAGATGGATGAGACGGAATCTTCATAATTCTAGGGACACGATGCTAGGGTGCTCGGGTGAACTGGTGGGATCGATGGGAAGAGATGTTAACTCACGTTGACAGAGTGGTGGCTCTGTATCCCAAATGGCAGTATTGTTTGAGATGATACATGTGGCAGATGAGTGGCCAATGAGTTGATACCTAAAGGCAAAAAGTGAAAATGATTCCATCCACCTCCCATTAACTTCCTCCCAGCACGCAAACATGGCAGATTCGACAAAGTACAATCTGGGAGAAGCCTAAGGACCAGCCTAACCTCCACCTGTTCTATCTGGGTTTCCTTATTTCTCTTTTCCTACCCTCTGACTATGGAAAGGGATATTTCATCTTTAATTCCTCATGGCAGTACTCTACTCCTTAATTTTTGACTTCATTGTGGATTGTATCAGGACCAAAATAAAATAATGCTCTTGTAGACCAGTTTGCTAATTTCTTAAATTGTTTTTTTTCTCATATTTTATTGCCATTTTAAAATTTGTTTGCATTTTTCTTGATATACACATATAATGAACCCTGCTATTTAATTTTAATTTAGGCAAGTTTCCTGTGTTTGATGCTTTTAATCCCATTTAGAAGCCTTTGTCTTTCAATTGGAAGATGAAACCTTTCAGAATTATGGGATTAAATGGTGTTTTTGGTCTTGCTTTTGTCATCATTAGTTAGACTACCGGTTTCACAGTGTCCAAAGATGAAGACGCAGCAATGAATAAAACACATCTGCCACAGACAGGGGGACTTATTTTGGCAGAAGAGAGAGATACATTCCTTACTGTTCCCTTTTCCTCTTCTTATTTTCTATACTAGAGGCCTGTTGCACGAAAAGATTCATGCAATAGGCCTTCCCTTCCCCTGGCTGCCTGCACCGGTTTTCCTTCGGCACTGGGGACCCAGGCCTTCGCTCCGGCCGGAGTCGCCTTCAAAGCCTTCGCTGCTCCAGACCTGCTTTGATCACTGCTCCAGCCGGAGCTCCTTCAAAGCCTTCCCTGCTCCGGCCGGAGCTGCCTTCAGTCTTTGCTCCACAGCTTGCCGCCTACATATGCAAATTAACCACCATCTTTGTTGGCAGTTAATTTGCATATCTCGCTGATTAGCCAATGGGAAGTGTAGCGAAGGTACGGTCAATTACCCTGTTTGTCTATTATTAGATAGGATGAACCAGATAGGTGAACCTCCTTTAGGTGTTCTATTAATTGGGAAGTTAACTAGTATCCAATTTTATTCCATTAGAAATTTCATTTCATGTGCATATATAGTGGTTGAGCATCCACCTATGAGCCAGGAGGTCACAATTCAATTCCCAGGTTGCAGGCTCAATCTCCAGTGTGAAGCATTCAGGAGGCAGCCAATCAATGACGCTCTCATCACTAATGTTTCTCTTTCTCTTTCCCTCTCCCTTCCTCTCTGAAATCAACAAAAATACATATTTTTAAAAAGCAGATGGTCATTCTCTAGTTCTCCTTTCCAATAGCGACGAGAAGGTCGTATTGCTATTCTGCAAATCTTGAATCAAGAGATGTTATTGTCAACTCACCCTGCATTACAAGAATAATTAATTCTGGATCCAAGGTTGATGTCTGTGTCTATGTGCAGCATGCCATGCATAAGATCTGCAGGAGTTTTACATACTTTACCTGTGGAAAAGAAACAGAATTTTGGAGCCAGGTAGAGTAATCTGAACTTTTGTAGTACAGAAGGTCTCAATGTGACCGTCACTTACTAAAGAGGACATGAAATTCTGATGGTTCCACAGATTTTCGCCTCACCAGATGTCTCAAGTTCAGCCACGTTCTACGCACCAGTTTAAAAAAGACCTCCCACCTACATCTGTCTTATATCTACCTCAAATTGCTCAACAAAATATAGAGGTTAATTATAGCCTTGTATACTACCAATATAATTCTTTCTTCCTACCTGGTTATTAAAACAGTGTATGTCTCCTCACAATTTTTTTCCTGGTCTGAAGTTGTTCATTACTTACTTTCCCATAAGGAATAGGTTTTTTTCCCCCTGCAAATATTTATTAAAGCAGTTTCATGAGCCCTGACTAGTTTGGCTCAGTGGATAGAGCGTTGGCCTGCAGACTGAAGGGTTCCGGGTTCAATTCCGGTCAAGGGCATGTACCTTGGTTGCGGGCACATCCCCAGTAGGGGGTGTGCAGGAGGCAGCTGATCGATGTTTCTCTCTCATCGATGTTTCTAACTCTCTATCCCTCTCCCTTCCCCTCTGTAAAAAAATCAATAAAATATATTTGAAAAACAAAACAAAACCAGTTTCATGAAATAAACATTTCAACTAATAATTAGGGATGACCTACAACAACAACTCTTATATCCACCTACCTGGACACTTTTGAGAAGTAGAGTTTTATCTCTAAAATTTGAAAAAAGTTGAAGAAGATCCTATGGATAATTCGATAGATATGGGAAGCTCCAATACAGGTTTTACTCACGTTTACAGACATCCTGGGCAGCTGACCACTCCAAGTTGGCTAGACACCGGATAGAGAATGTCCTCCTGTAGTACTCAGGGCGGCATTCATACTTTAAAGATGTCCCAATAGGAAATGCAGATTCATTGGTTTGGGTTTTCAACTCAGCAAATTGAAAATGACCTGGAGCATTACAGTAACCTAAAAACCAAGATATCAAGAACATCAAGTTTTAACATAGAGATACCCATGCCTTTCCTATCTCTATCTCTATCTCTATCTCTATCTCTATCTCTATCTCTCTCTTTGATTTGATGCCAAAACAAAAGAAAGTTTTAGTTCTGGAAAGATAATTTCCTTGTAACCTTGGGAGGGAAAGTTCCATTAGCACCTGCCTATTGGAAAATATACTATCTATCTGGGAAAGTATTCTGCTATCTGGTTAATTTGCTCATATAATTTGCTGTCAAAGACAATTTCAATTCAATTTTTCACATTTTTAGGGAGCCAAAAAAGGTTCTTCTGCTCAGGTTTTACCATTTCTTTCTGAATGCATGGGGTCTTGAGCCAAATAGGTAATTTCCTTGTACTTCAGTGAATCAAAACCCCAATGGAGGTTTCACAAACATTAATGGAGAACTCAAGGTATTTCTTGAAACTAGGAAAGGGCCATGCTACCTATTTTGTAGGTCTGATTCCTAAGTAAACCATTTCAACACAAGGAGGAAATAAGTAGCATTTCCTTAAAATAAAACGAACAAAACTACACTTATTATTATAAGAAAACATTTGTTTGAAGTGTAAATTAAATCAAATTCTAGCTTTCGCTCCATGCTCCTATGGCCTATTAGATTTAGGGTCAAATAATGTGAATCCAAAACAGTACAAAGCTTGGAAAAATAGAAAACATATGCACATGGTTTGGGCAATACCTCCTATTTTATCTTCTCTTTCGGCTGCCCTCCACCTCCTTTCAGGTTATTTATTCAAATAGTTATGGCTATACGACAGCCAGTTCTGCACCCAGAGCATTTTCTGTTGGAGGATTTGCAGACCAACTTCTCATCTCTTGAAAGTAATTCACTGATTTTTCTCAATTTAAAAATGTGGCTTATTTGAAAGGTTTTTTATAGGAAATTTATTCGTCTATATTACCTGTTTAGTTTTATCTTAGAGCTTAAATATTAGCTCTACTAGCTAATTATTTCAAAGAGTGCCCACCAGGACTGAAATTTACTACTACGGCCAAATCACACACGAAGGTAGCCTGGCAGGTCTCCAGTCTAAAAAATCTAGCTGATAAAACTAGAGTTGCTATCTTAGATAGGTTTCTAATGAAAAAAATAATCATAAAACTTAAGAGAAGATTGTCTCTCGCTATCGATTCAGTAACTATGGACCAGGTCTCTACCCTGGTAAACAAGCTTATAAGTGCCTCCCAGATTGAAGCTATGGTGAGGGAGGAGGAGAGTAGGGCCAAAATGACTTCTGAGTGACTAGCACACGGTCCTTTTCCTTTTAGATTTGTTCTTTTCTCTCAGAGCTTCCCAGTGGTCAGTATATAATGTCCCTCCTACAATTTATTTTTTCCTTCCTGTATTCACTTGCTCAAGGTTGATGTCTCAGGGGGTTGGGTATCTTAGGAAACCTTATCCAGAAATAAACACTCTATTTTTTGCATTTTCCTTAGCGTTTTCTTTTCACCAAACTGAGATTTCAACAACTAAAATAACTGGGGGCAAAGGAGCAAATAAGCCTTATTTTAATGTAGAGCTTAGCCCAAATTGGCTACAGCAATCTATGTAGTTTGTCTATAATGCAGCTCCATTTTCACAGAGAATGCACAGGGATCTTGGGCCAAATGGGTAATAAAAAGTGATTTTGCCTGGCCTTATTCTCTACTGACCTGTGCTCCCCTCCAAAAACTATACATGGCATAACTTATGCTAGTTAAGGCCCATAGGTATTTGCTTTCAATTTTTATGCTTTGAAAACATTTTTCTTCCAATGCTAGTTATAATTAGAACTACCGCCCACCATCTTCTCTTTTCACCAACTCTCTAGCAACAAACGTCATCAGACTCCTATGTGTTAACACATCTTAAAATCATTTATAACCGATTTTGCATTTAATTGTGTCAAGTGCACAAATTAGCATGATGCTGTAATTGGAAGATTTTGGAAGATCTGTTTTAGATATTTCTGGAGCCATTTGGGATGGGGCATAGTAGGTACTGACCTGGATGTCCACAGCGAGGGGCAGGGCTGCTCCAGATCCCGTTCCCTCGACTGTCACTGGTGCAGCGGATGGTGCTCTCCCCAATGAGACTGAAGTTCATCCCTCTGTCTGGTTGGGGATCACATGTGTAAGTTACTTCTTTTCCAAAAGCAAAGATTTCCAGAGGTTTTCCTGTGTGTCTTCCGTTAGGAATATCTGGAGGATTTGGACATAAGATTTCTGGAAAGAACACAAGAGCTATTAGTTTCGTTGAGGAGCTCCCACTAGAGGTATTCTACAGGCATAGGATGCTGTGGTTGGTGCTACCTAGAAAACACCCATGACTGTATCTTTGCTGTAGGTCTTTGATGAGATGGGCTAAATGAAATAAGATCTCGATCTCATTTTTCTTGGAAAAAGTACAGAAGAAATTTGCTTATCTTGAATCTTCATGCTAGTTAAGTCTTCTGGATAAAGCAAACTTAACACCCTTGACTTAAGTACCAAGACTTTTAAAGAATAATAATAATCCTTTAGAGGATAATTCACTCAACTACTTAAAAATATTACTTGAGCACATGCCATGTGTCAGTCACTCATTGGAGCCTGGAATATGGTGATGAAGAGCACAGATAAAGTCACTGTCCCCCAAGGAAGAAATTTTCAAGAAATGTTTTTACAATGTATTCCACGTGTGCTTATCACCTTAAATATGTGAAACTTTTCGATACTGGCCATCGATCTTGATTATGACAGTGTGCTGACACAACGAATTGAAGCCTCTTCGGTCACTGTAAAAATTCTAAGCAACTCAGATTGCTTTGTTTTTTAAAATGTGTGGATCTGTCTATGATTTAATTTTCTTCTTTACTTTCTGTCAGGCTTCCACTTGTTACCTCTTTCTAGTATCTGCTTGTCTGTATAAAACAGTCCCCTCCTCACTTCTAGTTGGCATTTCTAACTAGGCTTGGTGTTTTGAGGAAGAGTAAGAGTCATGAAAATAAGATGTCCAATCAATAACTGAGCTCTCATGCATGCCAGTAGGACAGCCACTTATCATTCTCATCAAGAAACGTTGGATAGCAGATAACAGTATGTAAGCTATGTTCTCATAAGTTTTACTATAAAAAGCACATTTTGATGTCTGAGTAGATTTCTCATAACATAAACATTGCTTTATATATATATATATATATATATATATACATATATATATATATATATATTTAAAGATATAAATATATATATATATCTTTAAGGTCAAGAGATGAAGCAAAATCTTGTCTTTATTGAGCAAAATATAATTGGGTAGAACAGGAGAACTTGGTATTGACCCTACACATAGGAGAGTCTTTTTATTTTTAAATCCTCACCTGAGGATATGTTTTTATTGATTTGAGAGAGAGAGAAAGAGAGAGAAAGATTGAAAGAAAGAGCGAGAAAGAGAGAAACATCAATGTGTCAGAGAAACATCAATTGATTGCCTCCTATACACACCCTGACCGGAGTGGGACCTGAAACCTAGATATATGCCTTGACTGGGAATTCAACCTGCAACTTTTTGGTGTATAGGACAATGCTCCAACCAACTGAGCCACCCAGCTGTGGCAGGAGACTCATGTTTTAATCAGCTTATTACTTCTGAATCTTCCAACATAATTTATTTAAGTATGTGTTTGGAGAGTTTAAGGCGTCTTAAACTGCTTACCCCAGGTTATGTTGCTCCCAACTTTCCCCTCATTCTTTCACTGCTCTGATCTGTCACTTCCATAACATTTACTTGTTTATTGTTTTTCCTGACCATCTCCCCACTGGGGTATAAATAACATGGGGACAGGGCATTAACTTAGCTTGTTCACTGCTATAACTCCAGTGCTTAGGAAAATACCAAGCACATAGTATGTCCTCAATAAATAGTTGTTCGAATGAATGCATGTTTCATATTTTCATATTAGCCAGTAGATAGAAAAAATGTAGAGTGATTACATCCTGATATTAGAAAAAGAAAAGAAAAGAAAGAATTAGGAAAGGAAGAAAGAAGAAAGGAAGAAAATTGTCAAAGCTTCACGTTACTTAATCTCTCCTGATCTAGAGGCCAACTACTGCAGGATTTATCACCTAGAACGAAGAATTCAAAATAACAGAGACAGACAAAATGGTTCCCAAAACACATGATGTACAATAACGTGCATCACAACAAATTGATCACAAATAAATACTATTTAAAAAAGCAACTATATCTCAATAATTCAGATTAGAAAATAGAAGAACCCTATTGGGGTTGCCATAAGTCAAAATACTAAATAGGTTAAGGGAGGAATTGTCCTAAAGTGTTATTCCTTCTACTCACGTTCACACACAGGGACACTGCTATTCCAGAGGCTCTCCATTCCAACCAGGACACAATGGCTGGCAGAGCTGCCTTGTAGATGGAATCTAAAAAAGAAAATGGTAGTGCATAGGTGAGCTGTTTCAGTTGGCAAAACTCTGAGGCCCGGCTGAAAACCTTAGCATCCGAAACCAACAGGTGGCAGAAGTTTGGAGGCCATATTGATCTAGACCAACAGTTCTCAACCTGTGGATCGTGACCCCTTTGGGGGTCGAACGACCCTTTCACAGAGGTCGCCTTAGACCATCGGAAAACACACATATAATTACATATTGTTTTTGTGATTAATCACTATGTTTTAATTATGTTCAATTTGTAACAATGAAAATACATCCTGCATATCAGATATTTACATTATGATTCATAACAGTAGCAAAATTACAGTTATGAAGTAGCAACAAAAATAATTTCATGGTTGGGAGTCACCACAACATGAGGAACTGTATTAAAGGGTCGCGGCATTAGGAAGGTTGAGAACCACTGATCTGGACAAATCATAGCCTCCAGTTAGGGAGGACAGTTAGTTTGTCACATAACACATAGTTCAGGCTGAATTGAAGAAGGCAGTCATAGCATAGCAGCCATCTCCTTGTCCTGGACCCGGATTCTGAGAAGTTAATCTCTAGCTGATCATGTCAGGATAAACCTGATAAGTACTTGTCATATGGGAAACCCAGTCTTCTAATGCAACAGACTCCTAATTCTCCTAATTCTGATACTGGAACAGTGAGTAAAACAGTTCCCAGGTTGGATGGAAAAAGCAGAGAGTACCTGGAGAGAGCACAAGATTGTCCTTTTGTCTCTGTGGCTGTGATGGCTGTGAAGAAGGCATGTTGGGCTATTGAGTAAGTTTGAATACTAGGCCCTCTAGGGGAATGGAACGGAGATCAGAAATGACTTTTGTATGCGATCATCCAGAATGGTCAATGTATGTGGGACCCCGATGGCTCCTAAATCTTATTGGATGCTGTCATTGGGTGCCTGCCAGGATTCTTTGAAACAGTCTAAGGCAGTAGTTCTCAATCTTCCTAATAGCGTGACCCTTTAATACAGTTCCTCATGTTGTGGTGACCCCCAATTTCATTGTTACAAATTGAACATAATTAAAGCATAGAGGTTAATCACAAAAACAATATGTAATTATATGTGCTTTCCGATGGTCTTAGGGGACCCCTGTGAAAGGGTTGTTGACCCCCAAAGGGGTTGCTACCCACAGGTTGAGAACCACTGGACTAAGGTCTGGTGCTTCTTTGCTCACACTTAATCCTTCCCATGCAGAGATGAGCACACTGGGAAGAGCACCAGGCTCACATGAACAATGTCGTTACCTAAAACAGTCACCAGCCACCGCCATTTCAGAGCCCTAAGCACATGACTAACCAGAAGATATGTGATTAGATTAAAATACCCATTCTTGTGCTTTTACTCTTATGCCAAATTTTCCTTTTGATGGTTAAAAATGACTTAAATAATTCTAAATCATCTTAATTCTTTTTAATAACCTTTTTGTTACATATCAAACTTTTCTTGGGACTCTCCAAACTCTTCTTCTTTTTCTCTGCTTGGAAAGTATTATTTTTTTCAATCAATGCATCACATATATATTCATAACCAGTCATTGTATTTGTCTTTATACCAGCCATTTCATATATGTCCCAATTTTTCCTTCATACCTCATGCTATTTTTTCCACCTGTTCCTTACTCTTACTTTTCTTACACAATTCCAAGATGTAATTCCCTGAATTCATTTTTTAGCCACACCAAACCTTCCCTTTCTAAATTAACTTCTAACTCCAAATTTAGTGGCCAGAGGTCCAGGCAAGCTCACACTCACCCCTCATCACAAACGAAGGACACTTTTGCTCCAAGCTCCAAGTTAAGTGGAAAGAGCACACGGCCATTAGGAAGTCGGTCCCGGAAGGCAGCACATGATTTCACTAAAGAAAAATAAATGGGGAGTAAGACCACCATGTGAGGTGCAAAGACATTCATCTGCAGAAAGGATGAGAGTGAGTGTAGGCACCTGCGCATGTGGGGGCGGCCGGGCTCCAGTCTCCCTGGGGCGTACAGCGCAGAGAGGCGGCCCCTCTGAGGTCGTAGCCGGGCTCACAGCTGTAGAGCACCTCCTGCCCAGGGGAAAAGCTGTCCTTGTCGCTGGGGCTGTGCTGGCCATGCAGGATTTCTGGAGGCCGCTGACAAACTGGGGGAAGAACAGACACAGCGTTCCTGTCAGTTATGGGGGAATATTCTTTGCTAAATCTTAACTCATCCAAGGAGTCAGAAACTCATAAGTAGAGGGGTTCCGGTCTAACAAAGGGTCTCACACATGCATTCTATTCCTGGCACGTGATTTGGACAATTTCTTTAACCTCTGAAAGACCAAGCTAACTGCACTGTCAGATGGATAAGAGAATAGCACTATTTCTGAGGAGGATTGTAAAGAGTCCATGAGATAATGCACAGAGAGTGCTCAGTACACAGCTGACCAGAGGCTCACATCCTTTTTCTAACTAACTGGGAGCTGGTGCTTTGCCCTGAGAATTGCTCAGTAGGAGCCTCCCCAGTGTCCCCGTCCCCGATGAATTAGGCTCTTGCTTTTCAGGATGAAGGCACACTCACTGGAGTGAGGGTACCCACACACCTTCTTCCTTTCATGCTTCATGCTTCACCCCTAGAAAATGTACTCACCCTGCTCACCACACATCTCCCTCCCAGAACAAACACTAATCTGGGGGGCCTCCCACAGCTCCTGTCACCTGCAGGCCCCCTCGAAGCTTTAGTCAGACTCACCCGGGGAGCAGCTGGGCAACTCGGGCTCCCATCTGTTTTGGGCCCTGCAGCGCACACTGGAGGGGCCTTTCATGACAAAGCCAGGCTGACACCTAAAGCTCACGATGTCATTTAAGGAGAACAAGCTTCTGTTCTCAGACTCCCTTATTCCATTTTCAACGTGCGGAGGCGTGCATTTATTAGGTACGATGCACTGAGGGGCAGGGCCGCTCCAGAGGCCCACTTGATCTTTGCTGGTGCAATGTATTGACTTCTCGCCCACGAGTTCAAACTTTTCCCTTCCTTTTCTGTCATTGCAGTGGTAGGTTACCACTAATCCGTATGGAAAATCGTCTCCGCTGTTGCCAAGGAAATATCCGTTGGTGATGGTTGGTGGTGTCTTACATTGAATAACTGGGAAAAGGAAAAACCATTTAAATGATAGTGAATTGAAATAACTGCTGAGAGTAATCCAATGTCACTAAACTGTTAGTATTTTTACACTCGTTATTTGCTTTTAATATTTGCTAACATGTATATTAGGTATTCCAAAGTTGCAATTTAGGTGGGCATAATAAAAAGCATAATTACGCTTTTTCTACTTAGATTATTTCCTATGAACATATCCATATATTAATACAATTCACATTTTTTCATTACAAATAACTTTGATTATATCATATCATAGTTTACAGTTCCCCCCCTACTCTTTTCCAACTGCCTTCTTAATTTTTATTTTCGTTATAAATGAGACTAGTATAGCTTTTAAAAAAATAAAATCAAAATACCCTTAATAATAAAAAAAGTATAAGGAGAAAAAGCTAAAGGAGTTAATCACCACCAAGCCAGTATTACATGAAACGTTGAAGGGTATTCTTTAAGAAGAAGAAGAAGAAGAAGATGGAAAAGAAAAAAGATAAAACATATGAACAATAAAATGGCAACAAATACATATCTATAAACAGTTGAATCTAAAAATCAAAATAAACGAACAAACTAAAAAAGCAATCCCATTTACCATCGCACCAAAAAAATTAAGATACCTAGGATTAAACTTAACTAAGGAGTTAAAAGACCTGTACTCAGAAAACTACAGGACTCTGAAAAGAGAGTTAGAGGAAGACATAAACAAATGGAAGAACATACCGTGTTCATTGGTAGAATCAACATCATTAAAATGTCCATACTACCCAAAGCAATCTACATATTCAATGCACTCCTCAATAAAATACCAACGGCATATTTCACAAACCTAGAACCAACTCTCCAAAAATTCATCTGGAATAAAAAAAGACCCTGAATAGCTACAGCAATCCTGAGAAAGAAGAACAAAGTTGGAAGGATATCAATACCAGATATTGATATTGTTCTCAAAACTGCCTGGTACTGGCACAAGAACAGACATATAGATCAATGGAATAGAATAGAGAGCCCAGAAATCAACCCAAACCACTATGCCCAATTAATATTTGACAAAAGAGGCAAGAACATACAATGGAGTCAGGACAGTTTCTTCAATAAATAGTATTGGGAAAATTGGACAGATATACACAAAAAGAAAATGAAACTAGACCACCAACTTACACCATACACAAAAATAAACTCAAAATGGATAAAGGACTTAAATGTAAGACAGGAAACCATAAAATACTAGGAATCCAGAGGCAGCAAAATAGCAGACAAATGCCGAAGCAATTTCTTTGCCGATACCACTCCTAGGGCAATGGAAACCAAAGAGAAAATAAACAAATGGGACATCAAAATAAAAAGCTTTTGCACAGCAAAAGAAACCATCAACAAAACAAGAAAGCCCACTACATGGGAGAACATATTTGCTAATGTTATCTCTGATAAGGGTTTAATATCCAACATTTACAGGGAATCATACAACTTAACAAAAGGAAGATAAACAATCCAATCAAAAAATGGGCAACGGACCTAGATACTTTTCAAAAGAAGACATAAAAAAGACAAAGAGACATATGAAAACATGCTCAAAGTCACTAATCATCCGAGAGATGCAAATCAAAACGACAATGTGGTACCATCTCACACCTGTCAGAATGGCTATCATCAAAAAATCAACAAACAACAAGTGCTGGCGAGGATGTGGAGAAAAAGGAACCCTCCTGCAATGCTGGTGGGAATGCAGACTGGTGCAGCCACTGTGGAGAATAGTATGGAGTTTCCTTACAAACTAAAAATGGAACTCCCATTTGACCCATTGATCCCACTTCTAGGAATATATCCCAAGAAACTAGAAACACTGATCAGAAAGGAGATATACACCCCTATGTTCATAGCGGCACAATTTACCATTGCTAAGATTTGGAAACAGCCTAAGTGCCCATCAGTAGGTGAGTGGATTAAAAAACTGTGGTACATCTACACAATAGAATATTACGTTGTGGTAAAAAAAAAAAAGAAGGAATTCTCACCATTTACAACAGCATGGATGGAACTGGAGAGCATTATGCTAAGCGAAATAAGCCAGTCAGAGAAAGATAAATATCACATGATCTCACTCATTTATGGAATATAATGAACAACATAAACTGATTAACAAAAACAGATCCAGAGACAGAAAAGCATCAATCAGACCATCAAACTCAGAGGGAACGTAGGGGAGGATGAGGGGAAAAGGGAGAGATCAACCAAAGGACTTGTATGCGTGCATATAAGCCTAACCAATGGACACAGACACCAGGGGGGTGAGGGCATGAGTGGAGGGGGGGGGGCATTGGGAGAATAAGGACACATATGTAATACCTTAATCAATACAGAAAAAAAAATTTAAAATAAACGAACAAGAAATCTAATGAACAAAATAAACTGATGAATAAAAGAATCAGAGGCATGAGAACATGGAACAGACTGAGGAATCTCAGAGGAAAGGGGGGTGAAGGGGTGGGAAGAGGTTAACCAAAGATTTTACAGTGGGGCCTTGACTTACGAGTGTCCCGACTAGAGTTTTTTGAGATACCAGCTGTCTCTTGGCTGATTTTTTGCATTGAATTGATAGAGTAATTTCAGTTAATGAGCTCCTTAACGAGCTCGGTCTCAGAACGAATTAAACTCCTAAGTCAAGGCCCCACTGTATATGCATATATGCATTACTTATGGACACAGACAATAGGGTGGTGAAGGCCTGGGGTGGGGTGGGGCAGGAACTGAGTAAAGGGGGGCAAAGGGAGAGGAAAGGGGACATCTGTAATACTCTCAATAATAAAGTTTAAAAAATCAATTAAAAAAGTGTAAGGAGAGACAACACAGGTATACAGCAGTAAGAAAGAGAATTTGAATATATTTACATATACATGAGAATATTTATGAAACTGTAGACAACTGTATGTTAAACATTTTGAAAACCTAAAGAAGACAGAGAAAGCTACAAAGGGGGATAGAGGTGGGCCAGGAGGGAGGCGGGGGAAGGGGGAGAGAGGAAAATAAAAGTTTTATTTTTTTAGAGCAGTGGTTCTCAACCTTCTGGCCCTTTAAATACAGTTCCTCAGGTTGTGGCCCAACCATAAAATTATTTTCGTTGCTACTTCATAACAGTAATGTTGCTACTGTTATGAATCGTAATGTAAATATCTGATATGCAGGATGGTCTTAGGCGACCCCTGTAAAAGGGTCATTTGACCGCCAAAGGGGTCGCGACCCACAGGTTGAGAACCACTGATCTAGTGGTTTTGTACAGTGTCACCCAGGCTAATTGGAACCAGGGTTCCCAGACTTACTTTGCCTGTATGGCTCTAGGTTAGGGTTGGAGCTTGAGAAATTGGCCTGAAATTTGAGAGGCAGAAGTGAAGCAACAGCCATTCTCCTCTGAAGGTCATTCTTGGTTGGAGGTGACGAGGGGACAGATGCAGAGGAGCCAGGGGTCCCTGTTTGTTCTCGCTCTCCCTATGTTTGCATCCAGCTCTCTGAAAACGCTGGTCCCGCTCACCTGCACTGACTCCTCCCCACGGTCACATGGCTCCCTGTTAACTGACAGCAGCAGCAGCTGGAAGAGCCAACCAGACAGCTCTCTGCATGAGGCCTTCCCAGCTCCACGCTAGCAGGGAGGTGTGCTCAGCTTCCCGAAAGCTCCCACTCCCAGGCACCTGATGAGTGTGGTGTTTCTCATCGTTTAGAGCAGTGGTTCTCAACCTTGGCTGCACATTACAATCACCTGGGAATCTTTTTAAAATGCTGATTTTTGCACCTCATCCCCCAGAAATTCTGTTTCTTTGTTACTAATGTTGTCGCCCCACCCCATAACAAAGAAACAGAATTTCCGGAGGATGAGGCCCAGAAATCAGGATTTTAAAAGGATTCCCAGGTGATTCTAATGTGCAGCCAAGGTTGAGAACCACTGGTGTAGAGCAGCTCCTCAAACAGCTAGGTCTAATTTCATGACAAATCTCTTGTTTCGTAACACTGATAGTAGTTCTGCTTCCATATTTGGACCAATATTTATCCCCGGGTAACAGAGGAATCTGGGATTGGTTCTTTAATATGATTATATTTAAGAATTCATATTCCCTGGCTAGTGTAGCTCAGTGTTGAGCATCGAACTATGAGCCAGTAGGTCACAGTTCGATTCCAGATCAGGGCAGGCAGAGGTGGTGAGGGGTGATCAGGCAGGGGCACCTGCCCGGATTGCAGGCTCATCCCCAGTAGGGGGTGTACAGGAGGCAGCCCATCAATGA